CAAGTGTACAAATCGATCTTGTCGAAGAGCCCTGAGCTTCTCAAGGCACTCTTCACCACTGACAGGCAACTCAACCCCCGAGAGCGCAGCAATCTTGGTAACATTCTTATGCAACTGCGCAAATGTCTCTGCCATCCATTTGTCTACAGCCGCGAGATTGAAGAGCGAACCGACGTTGCTGCTGTATCGCATCGCAACCTAGTCGAAGCCTCTGCCAAGCTCGGTCTTCTGGAACTGCTGTTGCCAAAGCTCAAGGAGCGTGGCCACCGAGTCCTTATTTTTAGTCAGTTTCTCGATATGCTCAACATCATTGAAGACTTTCTCGATGGCATGCAGCTTGCATACCAGCGACTTGACGGGACAATGGGTTCGCTCGAAAAACAAAAGCGCATTGACCAGTTCAACGCCCCCAACTCGCCTCTCTTTGCCTTTCTGCTCTCCACTCGTGCGGGTGGTGTTGGCATCAATCTTGCAACTGCCGACACTGTCATCATCCTGGATCCAGATTGGAACCCACATCAGGATCTCCAGGCCATTGCCCGAGCTCATCGCATTGGTCAAAAGAACAAAGTTCTTTGTCTTCAGCTAGCAACCCGAGCCTCAGTAGAAGAGAAGATTATGCAGATGGGAAAGAAGAAGATGGCGTTGGACAAGGTGGTCGTTCAAGATCTCGACAGAGAAGACCCGGAGGATGAGGATGTTGAGTCGATACTCAAATACGGTGCAGCAGAGCTCTTCAAAGATGATGATGCAGACCATGACATTCGCTATGACGACGCATCAATTGAAAAGTTGCTGGATCGCAGTCAGATCGAGAAGACGCAGACGGGCGAAGATGATTCGGCCGAGTCACAGTTTGGATTTGCGCGCATTTGGGTGAATGAGAAAGGCACCTTGCAGGACGACTTTGATCTGGCAGACGAAGAGGTGGCCCCAGATCCTGGAGTTTGGGACAAGATTTTGAAGGAGAGGCAAGCTGCAGCGGCCGCTGAAGCACTCGCGCGGGCTGAGGCCATGGGTAGGGGTCGGCGGGCCAAAACTGTATGTCATGCTTTGTTACTTGTGTTGGCAGGAACTAACTTAATACAGAATGTTGATTACACCGCTGAGATGAAAGATGCTGACCGTCCCTCTGTCGCCGGAGAAGACCATTTCGAAAACAACCTCGGTCTTCCACCCTCTCCTATCAAGAAGTCGAAGAAGAGGCGCAAGGTCAAAAGAGATTCTGAAACTGACACTGACTTCCAAGCCGAGTCTGAGGATGAGAGCGAGCCTGATTCGGATAATGAAAGCGCCAACGCTGCTCGAGAGCTTGGCAATGATCATCATCAAAACACAACAAACACTGCCAACTCGTCGTTATACAAGCAGAACGGCGCAGGTGCGTCCAATGTTTTTTCAACTCAACCCTCAAGATTTCCCGGTGCCTCCATTCCTCTACCATCTACATCCATGGCGGCCCTACAACCACCGAGAGGCGGCTTCAAGGTTTCTTTCAATGAGTACAGAAAGCCTGGTAGGAGTACACAACCAGATCATTTCCCTTCTTCATCTACTGATGCCTCGAGCTTCCAAGATCCGTCCGGCATGGCCCATGTTTCCTCTGATCCGTCTCGGAAGGCACCAAAAGTATCAAAAACCAACAGGACCTCAGCCAAACCGTTCCAGCGTGTACAGCTTCCGATCCGGAATCCCCTTGCGTTAGCATATGGTACCTACAGCCGTTATTCCTGTCCAGCTTGTCTCAAAAACCATCCACAAGGTGCTTGTGAGCTCAAAGTCGCAGGTGTCGAACACTGTGGCTTGTGTGGTCTAGCACACTACGGTTACTCCCGGACATGTCCGCACATCAGATCCGAAACCCAAGTTCGTGAAATGCTAGAGGCTCTCAAGAGTTCACCAGAAGACAAGGAGCTCGTAGATGCAGCAGTCAAGTATCTACGTGGCGTCAAGGGTACTCTTGTACAGCAGAAGAAGAGAGACAAGGAAAAGGCAGCTCTTGCTAAGGCTCAGTCCATTCCACCGCCTGGATACCCCGGCTCTGGGCATCTGCCAAACAACACTTATCCTCAGCCGCCCAACACTACTGGTGGGCTCAATTCGAATGCTCCGCCTAGTCACGGTTTTTCAGGACCGCCAGGTGCACAAACAGGTCACAGGGGTGGCGTTGGTCAAGGCCAGGGTATGCACACACAGCAGCAGCAGCAGCAGCAGCAGATGATCCAGCAGATGCACGGTCAAGGCTACAATGACCAGCAAGTCGAAACTGCGCTGAAGGGCTTCCTGGGCAATGTCTAAGCGTGCAGTTCTTGGGATTTGTGGTCTTTGAGTAGGAGGGGCAACTGTCATCTGGATATCCTCGTCAGGGAATAGTGATGTTGGCGTTACTGCCGAGGCAGCACGAGTAGGTGTTTCTCCGTGTTTCATATATTCAATAGATTCTCCACATGCATGGGCCAGACTCGATGCTTGGCCTCGGGTCAGGGATGATTATTCCAGCAGAAGCATATGAACAAGGAATGTAGTGACTATGCAGTTCTTGAAATCCACGATTCTCTCGTATATGAAGGTGAGAAATTGATTCTGCGCCCGCGCTAGTACATACCTGCACACACAAAAAAGGCGCACAGTGTTGCTAATTTTTTTTTCCAGCCAGTTTTTGGTACTGTGACGGCTTCTGTTCCATGCGGCAGTGCCAAGCGAGGATATCGACAAGTCCGCAAAAGATCATAGTACTCAATAATGACATTTGATTAATTCTATTTTTCCGGCACATACCGCCATAGTTCGTTGAATATCAGCTTCTCCCGTGCGATCCGTCAAAGCTCACGGTGCCACGTTTGGGTATATTTGGTGGTGTTGCCTCGCGTACACTACTGTTTGCAGGAATCACGATTCTATTGCAGCATCCCCTACTAGTGCAGTTATTAACAACTACTAACAGTTATTCGTTATTCCTAATCCAGTTACCAAGTTTTATTAGAGCGCGCTATTTTAACAGTTGCTGTCTTGAAATAGGCTGCTACCAACAAAGGGGCGTTAAGCCTCTTCCCCTTACGCCGTCTCTTCTAACATATAGGTCGTGCGTGCGTCACGCATTAGTGCATACAGTGGATGACAGACAGTGTGGTATCCTGCTACAATGAGAAGAAAATAAATAATTGAGTGTCCCCGCTAAATTATTCACATCAGCTTTGTGAGCCGGTAGCTATAGAAAAGCAGAGATTCTCGTAGGTTTTGAGATATGAACACGCAAATTATTAGATGAGATGCAGTACTGTCTCGCAGAGATCACCCTTATCTCGTAGGTCCAGTGCTTCGCCCTTCTGCAGTCCGTCAACATAACACTCACCTACAAGGCGATAGCAATCAGTCAGAGGAAGAACATGGCTTTCCCCAGGTACATGCGTAAACTCCTTTGGTTTGCTCTTCTGAAACAGTTTCCATCTCTTCGACAAGTCTTGGAGTTTTTCGGCTAAGCCAGTGGAAGGATTAGGCTCAAGATCTAGCCACTCAGGACAGTCGGTTTCTTTCGTCATTTTCCGCACAACAAAAGGTGTTTTTCCACCATATAGTACGCATAAATCGTCTCCTGCTCGTGTAATCGATGGCCCAGAGCCAATGTATCCCGTTTCAGTTACGAAGATGATCCGGTCTAAACTCACAAGCTGACTAAATCTCGCAGCCATGAGGTTCACCCATTCCCACGTCTTTTCAGCTAGCTCACCCTCCACAAAAAGCCACTTCTCCACATCTCTATCTATAGGACGACAGACAGTGCTGAATCTTGGCAGTGTGCCCGGTTCTTCGTCTTCTACTAATAAAAGGCCAGCCTCCCAATACGCACAAAAAAAATGCCCCGGCGACTCGCCTCCACGCGACTCGTGTCCAGCCAATATTCCTCTATACAACCTGTAAGGAGCACCTTGGATGATTATCTTCGCAAATGCTTCTCCTAGAAGCGGATAGCGATCGGGGATACCAGGCCTCCATATAGCGTCCCACTTGATGGCCAGCCATGCTTTTACGACAGCGCGGAAACAGTTCAAGGGAAAATCGGAAAAGGGATCGTGAGGAACATCCAGCAGATGGGTAAATACCTTGGCAATCTTATCGACAACAATGCCTTTCAGGGAGAGTATGCGGTCGTCATGAGATTCAACGATATACGGCTCAGTGTCATATGTTGTTTGGGAGCCCAATATGGTCCCGAGTTGCGCAAGGGTACGGTAGGTATCATGGGTTGTATCCCACTTCGGCACCCAAGAAGATCGTTCACCATCCCAGGCGAAGTTTCCATCGTCGTCACGGTCGTGGCGCACTTGACTCAAAATATACAGTGTCGGCTTCTTTGTCAAGGAGTTGGGCATCTCAATGCAGTGTCTTGTGACGTCACGGAAAACAGCCTTCCAGTCTCGGGTGTAGTCGATGCGTAAGCGGGGGAACTCTTCAAGTGTTAGGCCTTCAGCCGATAGGCCCAATACCGCATAAATCTTGTCATGGGGTAGAGTGGAGTTGAAACTAGATATCCTGTCGAGTCTGTCCGCCAGGGGTACATATTTAATCCTTCGACATAATTCGATCATGGTGAAATTGTGCGATGCACTAAGTCCAGGAATCTTGCTTAGGCAATTATGGGATACAAGCCAACTTAGTACCTGTGAAAGTTGGCCCCAGCCTAGTCTCGCATCCTTTCCCACCATCAGTAGCGTGTGGTCTACACCTGATGCTTCCTGGATAATCCATACGCGACTGAACCATGGCCTGTTTAGGAATTTACTCAAGTAATTCCATTCTGGAGAATCAACCGTAGGGAGACCAATCGAGCTTTGATCTGTATGAATATTTACCAGTATCGGATCCTGAGGGAAATCTTCATAACCCTGTTTTCCTACTGTATCTTTACCCCGCACAATTCTATGTGCTTTCTTCAGGAAAGCAATAGCGTTAATTGCAGCGTCGACTTCGTTATTGTCGTTTCCAGGTCCGTCTAGTATCACGTCGCCCAACCAGACGAGCACCCTTGCACACATTGTGTATATATCCTTCATGCGCATCACCTGAATATTCTTCTCTTTAGTATCCTGTTGGTTGATACATAGAGCATCTACCCATAGCAGTTTAGCTTTTTCCGTATTCCTAATTCTCCGTAAGGCGGCCTCTAGATTGCACGTCACTTCGATTATCTCGCCATCCATTTTAATCTGCTCTTTAACGCTAGCGTAGCCCCACACATAAGAAAGTGCATCAAAAGCACCTGAGACTTCTTTTAATGAAACAGTAACAAGCTCGCACTGTATCATATCGCACGCAATACAAAAACTCTCTTCGCAATTGCTTTTGATGTCATCCTGGTAGTTGTGACCTCTCCTGGGGAGTATAGTTGTGGGTAAGATTCTTAATACCCGGATTTCATCGGCTTCAAGAGGTGAGTAGGTAGGCTGAGAAACGCTTTGTGCCCTGCATCGCCTGCAGCTTGGGTTGGACAAGATTGACATGTTTTTGATCGATGTTCTGATAGCAGCTGTTTTCATGAACCTATATATATTCCTACAAGGGAGGCTGTGCTGGAGCAACGCCCGGCGTCTATTTAGGATAGAATTTGGGGGCCAAAAGGCTTTCGACCTATTCGCTGAATTCGATGCGATAATCTACACCTATGTCATGATCGCAGTGATACGGGTTATTCTTTTTGACCTTAGACGGGTGCTATATCCTACTAATACGCTCCGATTTGGTCAGTTCGGTTGCTAGTCGATAGGCCGTTGGAGGCTGCCAATGGAGTTACAAGGTATTCACAATCTCAAATCCAATGTGGCGGCACAGCCTTCCCAGCGTCTTTTTCGCTTTTAGCATAAGATCTAGCAAGCCACCAACACTAGTGTTAATAGTTAGTCTAGATTTAGGAAAACGGCTCACAGCACAGTAACTAGATACAGACATATTAAGTATATTTGTGTCCACTTTGCAAGAGATTGCTCAGCGGTACTTAAGCAGTTAATCGGCGGATTAATAGTCAGGTGGGTGACCACTGGCGAATACCCGCTGTCGTATGTTTTTGTTTTGCAACTTTTTATTTTTGCCTGCTTCGCGTGTCACGTGGGCATGGGCCTTGGGATTTCGGATTTCTGCACCCTGGAAACGGACACCAGTGCTGTATGTATTTGCTTTATCTCACAGTCCACACTCGTGGCTGATTCTGGTAAGAAATCGAGATGATGACTTTATACTTTCGTCTCTACTGTGAATAGCCGAGGCCTTCGCTTTAGGTCAACCTACATCTACAATTGAGCTTGATTCTACTCTTATGATTTGTGGCCTCCTCCTTGTATAGTGAATACACTTGAACTTTCTCAAAATTGCACCTCTGATTTTTACCGTTTAACCCCTTCACGCTCTTCTTGCCTGATTGGCGCCTTGGGAATGAATGAAAATGGAACAAGTGTCAAAGAGCGAGGTTGGTTCTTCTCTGCCACGTGACGACGAAAAGGAGCGCTAAATCGCTGCACAGGCCATTCAGACTGCCCGCCTACGTCAGCCAGCAGGCGCGCCGACACAATCCGCTCCACATATAAAATATCGATAGCGTGGTTGACTATGAGGCTGTACTAGTTCCAATCGATCTGGATTTCTTATTCATCGCCCCATTAACTCGTCGGCCTGCTGTCTGACCGAAGTAGATCTACAGCCGTAAGCCGATAGTAACGTTGCACCACAGCCGCTATGCTGCCAGAAAAGAAAATCGACTCGCTTGGCGCGCGTTTGGAGCAGTTCAAGGAACGTGATCAGGAAAGACGGATTGATTTGGACGTAGGAGAATATCGATATCCGCTTACTTGCCCCATACTCCACTAACCCCCTTACCCAGAACCTTCTCGTCGAGTATCGTCAATTGCTCAACGAGTACAAAGTACTTAAGAAAGCCTACGAGGACATGGTAACCAATACTATTTCGAAGCCATTTACAGTGGGAACGCCTACTGTAACTGCAGCAAAAAAGCCAATAGATTCCTACGTCCTTGTACTAGTCGATGGAAATGAGTACATTGTGAGTTTTCAGCTTTGCATGGAAAGGCTTGTCTGACTCTGCACAGTTCAATGAAGAGCTCATCCGTGATAAGGAAGAAGGCGGCATGCGCGCTGCTCGCAAGCTCGATGATGCTATAGAAAAATATATACAAAGCATATCACAGACTGTCCCCAGACGCGTAATTGTCCGCATTTACGCCGATCTCACCAACTTGTCCAAGCAGCTCGCAAGATTAAAGTTGACTGGGATGGAGAAGCGATCTCTAGCGTCTTTCACTTCCGGTTTCACACGTGCCCTTAGTCTCTTCGACTTCATCGATACCTTGGATGAAGAGGGTACCAGGATCAAAATCAGAGGTATAATTACTGAGCTCTCAAGACAAATATCAGACGACTAATGTTCTGCAGACCAATTCAAGTTTGCGTCCGAAGATGCGGCCTGTAGTCACATTCTGTTCGCGGCCTGTAATGACCCGGCTTATCAGTCTCTGCTCGTATCCTACAATGGTGCACGTGACAAGGTCACACTCGTACAGGGCGGCAAATGGCACGCAGAATTTCATCAATTCAACTTGGAGGTGACCCAGTTCCCCACAGTCTTCAGCTGGTCTGGAATTTCCTCTGTGCCACCAACCAATAAACCGGCGACGCCCACTCCGCCCAAACCAAAAGCGCCATTGCAACAGCCCATACTGAAACCTGGATTAGCAGCTCTACATAAAGAATCGTGGAGACGGAACGATGCTGTGAGTATAGCAGAGTCTGCATCCGGTCGCTTATCTCCCGCACTGACAAATGGACCACAACCTTCCCATGGGAGCTCATGGAGACGTAACGGTCCGGTGAGCGCAACAGAGTCTGCATTTGGCGACTCATCACCTGAAGAATCAAATGACTTTGTGGAGCCCGAGCCTGAGCCCGCCCGATGGGACAGTCCACCCCCACGCGACCAAGCACCACAGAGCATGCCAACTGGACCGGCCAAGAAGAAACCGGTGTGTAGACACTTCCAAAAGGGATTTTGTCGCGCTGGTGGAAAATGCAACTTCGCACACGGCCCCGTCAGTTTGACTAGCAGTGTCAATAGTGGTGACGGCGGCCAGGACTCCAAGCTACTTCTCAGCCCAACACTACACGCTCTCTCAGGATCATCCTGGGCACAGGCTCCCGCAGAACCACCTCAAACTCCCCAAGATTTACAAGCTCCCCTGGGTGATCGAAGTGGAATCTCTTCCGTCCTTCCCGAAGAGTCTGTACCAGGCTTCATTCCCGTGAACAAAAACCTCCAGCGCCTCGACCCATACTACCCGCAACCCTCCGCACAGGACTGGAAGGCATACAACACGCGTTTTCACAAGGCCAAACCGTGCAACACGTTTCATCTTGAGGGCAATTGCACAACTTATGACTGCAAGTTTGACCATAGCGAGCTTGACGCACAAGTTAGGCGCGTACTCGAGTATGTTGTGAAGCGCACTCCGTGTCCCAGGAAAAGTGGGTGTAGAAGGAAGCACTGTATCTTTGGGCACTTGTGTCAAAAGGAAGATTGCAAGGGCCCCAGGCCGACAGGGCAGAAAAAGTGTTGGTTCAAGCCTGATCAGCATTTCTTGCTTGAGGATTGTCGGCCGATAAGTTTTGTGCCCGCAGAGGAGGAAGAAGAAGAAGAAGAAGAGCGTAGTGTGATAGGCGGGGGATATGATGGAGGCAAGGGGAATGTTGGCGACTACCTTGGGATGGAGCAGGTTGATCTGATGTGGTAAGTTGAGGAAGAGTAGATTGGTCTGATGATCGTACTTTTGTTGCTTTTGTAAAGGAGAGTTGATGGGTCCATCCACGGTAGTATATGATATTCATAGTCTGCGTGAAGCATCAAATGTCATACATTGTTATGAAAGCATTTGCTTGGATTGGAAATGGCGATACTACGTACAACTCTGATTTGGAAACAACAAAACATGCTTCCTATTATGTTCACTTCTCTCTTGTCGGCGCTTCAACGGGTCTCTGTGTTCCATCCATCTCAACAACACCCACGCCATCCCCCATGCAAATCTCCCTCTCACATGCCACCACCCCACACTGCTGATCCCAAGCCTTGTCTGTATCTTCATACACAGCAGCATGATATTCCACCATTGACTGCTGCTGCTGATAGCATTGCGTATTTTGCCCCTTCAAATTCCTCCGCCGCCTCCACGCCAGAAAAACCACAAAAGCAAGGAAACAAACAAAGACGCAAGCACCAACTGTACCCCCTATCACTGCCTCCAAGCTAGTTTTCCTCCCTTCAGAAGAAGTCGTTGTGTCTTTGTCTTCCGCTACAGCAGGAAGAGTAGGAATTCCGGAAATAATTTCCCTCATAGTCACAGTCGCGGTAACAGTTTCTCTTTCTTCTGTTTCCTTATTACTCGATGACAACATCCTCATACCCGGGGAACGATACGCAGTGCTGGTAAAAGCTGTTTCGGCGCAACCATGCTGTGTCATTACCATGTTGTCGTAGATGAAGTTCCACTCGTAGCATTCTTGTGCGGTGCTCGAGGTACATTTTACAATTGCCTCGTTAGATGAGCAAGCGGTTTCTGTGCATGAGGCGGTCATAGCGGTGAATGCGATGCAGGAAGTGGGGAGTGTGCAGGGGGTGTTTGACGCTGGGTCGCAGCAGCCGTGGATGCCGAAGTAGGTGTTTGTTGCGCATGTCTGAGTCGGGTTTTCGCATGTTACTGGGCTGTCTTTTTTTGAAGTGAGTAAGTTGGTAGCTTTGAGTGGGCGAGGAAGACCGACCTGGCGATCCGGAGACGAATCCGCATGTGTAATCGTGTCCACTGGCCTGGCGCTTGAATAGAGACAAGGGCAGCTGCGCTGCTGCTGTTGGCGCGGGATTCCATATATCCATTGAAGGGACGAAATGTGTAGGCTCTGGTGTCGCTCTTAACAGCGCTACTGCGTTTGCGATCGCTGGCGCCAGAGAGGCGAGGGTGAAGAGAGCAGTCGTCATTATGTTTACATATGCTCGGGAGGCTATTCTCTCAAGGCGATGTCGATATGGCGAGGCAAAGGCAATAAGATAGAGGGTACATAAGTAAGCAGTATGGCGGAGAGCCTGCGGCGGCTGAGCGCAGTGAGAGGGAGGAAGGATACCTAGCAACACGTGCTGCGGCCAGGGTAGCTCCAGAGCTTCCCTTACCTATAGCAATCGGGTCATGTCCCTGGCGATCCAATCGAAAGCGGTATCGTGGTGCGATCATGAGGAAATGTCACGGTAGCATGGGGGTAAGCGTCAGTATGAGCATGCAAGGCATTCCTCACCCTCTCCCCAATCACACCTCGGCTATCCTGTCTTGGGCTAGACGATAGAGTAGCTGGCCACTGATGGAACGAGTAGGTTGTATATTTGTGCCGGATTGGGACAAGCGTAGGATTGCGCACTGGTAGAGGTAGTGGTGGTGGTGTAGAGTGGGAGGGCCTGAGCGTGCATGTGGCGCAGATCAACAGGACGTAAATATAGCTAAAGTGGGCATGTTGAGCGAACGGGACACAGCATGTCCATGCAAAATGACGAAGACGAGTACTGCTGCAATAATTCCCGGATGGCTGGAGGTGATTTGTGGCATGCCTTAGTGGGCATCGACATGCAAGTAAGAGGCTGAGGCAGACAAAGAAGTGCTCTGCACTTGGGAGAATGTATGAGAATGAGTTGCATTGCCTCAACCAATACACGACGATTCGCAAGACGGGCGCTGTTGGAGGGTCTTGAGGGATGAGCCGTAGTAGAATGTGGTAAGCGCTGGCCCAAGACAGAACAAACAAAGCCACAAATGGTCGTGCGCAAAGGGCGGACCTTGGAGTTTGGTCGCACAAGCCTAGTTTTCGTGTTGGGCCACATGAGACCAAGTAACCAGCCTCATGTGGCTGATTGCGTGAATGGCCTGGCCTGGCCCGGCCTCTTCCTTGCTTCACAGTTCCGCGCGTTAGTCAACACGTGATTGTAGCAAAGGGTTCCAAGTAGAGATTGGTCTCAAGACTCAACATGTGCAAACGTCCGACTCTTCCTTAGCACGACCTATCTACAGCCTTCGTCTCCATAACGCCAAGTGATGATCCAAAAGCGATAAAACTCCTCCATGATGCTGTTCCGTGCGGCTGCCGTGGCGTGGGTATGAGTAATGTACAAAGAGAATGAGATACAAGCCGTCTAGTTGCGCTTATGAGGGCCAACAATCTTGGGGTACATTCTCGAGAGATGGTAATTGATGTTGTTCTTCTTTTGGTTGGGGTCTCGCTGGAATGTTCATTAGAAACCACATTCATATCAGCATATAGAAGCGGGTGCACATACTGGAGCATCCATGCACTGGCGCAATTTCTGTTCAAGCTGTGCGCATGCTTGCATGCTGTAACCCGACGAAGCCCAGCATCCTATTGCAGACGTGTCAGCCCGCGCCGATTCCAATAACACATTTCCAATTTATACAATCCTCCAGCAAAGACATACCCAGAACTGAGGACATTGCGCCGAGGCATGGGTTCACCTCTGGCTTGTTTGGTCGTCGGACGCGGAGCTTGGGGAGTGGTGGGAGAGGGCGATGAGTGGCCGATTGAACGGCACTGCCTTGAGGCTTTGGGACCATGATTGTTGCAGAGTCGCCCGGGACGTGGATGGATCGCAATCAGATATTGTCGTTGTCGCTGTCGTCGTCAATCATCGGCGGGTCAAAAGTTTCCCACGGCGGGCATGGCTTTTGCTTGGCGTGTGTGGAGCTGCCCCGTCGTCATCCCTGCTTTACCTGTTAGCGCCGTATCTTAGCCTTTGTTTACATACATACAGACAGCGCATACTTGCACACATACAACACCAACCCTAGGCGACGATACTAACGGCCCTTACGAATACAGCCTCCATGTTTGCGCATCCTTGATTTTTCTGTCCGTGTAGCATTCTTTTCCCCTTATCCACGTCATGGCTCCCTCGCCGCGCAAACGCGCCACACCGACTGCCAAAACAACACTGTTCAACACCACCTGGAACGATTCCGATGCTGCCCTTTTCGATCCCAGTACCCTTCCTGTTGCCAAAATACCCCGCGCATGGGAGCGCAAGCAGGAGATCAAGCGCATTGGTCACGGAAAGGAGAAGAAGATCTGGCGGAGATTCAACCTGAGATCGCGTGTCGACAACACCCCCCAAGACGATGCTGACGACGAAGAGCAAGATGCGCTCTCTAGACCCGTCAAGAGGCGCCAGCACATTAGCCCCAAGGCTATGGAGAAGACTTCGACCAGGCCCAATGCAAAGAAGCGCGCTTTCAAGGCCACGCGCTGGGACCGCAGGAAGAGCGTGTTACCGAGTAGGCGTTTGACCAGTACATGGCTATGTATAATTTACTGACGCGCTTTCAGGGAAGCGAGCCACCCCTTTTGCTGACAACGAACCAACTGGCGACGACGAGGGAGAAGACCACAGTTACGACCTGACAGAAAGCGATGTTACAAGCTTCAACGAGCCAGATGAGGCCATGCAAGGCCAGGAAGAAGCATTCATGAGCCCAGTAGACGCGCACAAGACGCCTGCTTTAGCATTCAACTTGGACACGGCCACCACAGACGACCTTCCGGACCGCGAGAGTTTAGATGAACACCAGGACATGGAACAAGACACGGATTCTCGGTCTACCGATGATACAACGCTTGCCAATCTATTCCGTTCTCCTGCCAAAGTTTCTTACCCCGAGTTACCACAGATTGGAGCCATTGAGGGGGAGTCAGAAACAGGCATAGAAGACATTGCGGAGCAGCCCGAGGAGAATGCCAATGTCGACAAGATTAAGCTACAAGATCAAGATTCACATAGCATAGATCAGACCCCTGAGTCTCTCACTGAGATTCAGTACCCCACCTTGCCAACCAACGATACCAAGTCTTCTTCACCTCCACCGTCGCACAAAGAAGACCAGGCTACAACAAAGGACAATCCCGAAGCGGCATTGCCAACCGATTCAGGCGCAGAAAACCCAGGGGACGACGTAGAGGAGGACGACACACCGAGTCTTTCTGAAGAACGTGATCCTGAAGAAGAGTTTACGGAAGCATCTCTCCAGCTAGATATCCTAAGGGATTATCAGAAAACAATGCTGGAGACATCTGCTATGACTACATCAGGCGATGATTCCTTGTCCGAAAAAGTACAAGCTCATCAGATCACTGAAGGTGACTCCGAAGACGACTCCATGGATGATGAGGCCAGCCCTACTGCTGATGAAGCCGCCACTGACAGCGATTCTGTAACATCCGAGGACCATGCCATGGATGAGGCACCCACAGAAGACATTACAGATGGCTTGGCACTCTCGTTGAGCACGTCGAAACCTGCCTCACCTACGCCTCGAAAACTTCATTCGCCTCCACCTCGCCTAGCATCTGGCTTCGAAGATACCACTGTAACGGTCGCTTTCGATGATGACACGGCCATGCTAAAAGACTTTCTCAACCGTGCAGCCGCCAGCAAAGCCGAAAAGGCTGCCATCACCACACACCGAAGGGAGTCGTTGCAGAATCGTCGTGATTCGGATGTCGTTCGCCATGCTCTAGCCTCTCCCAGAAAGGCCCTTGAAGAGAAGGATCCCAACTCGCCAGCCAAACACAACATCGATTTGACGCTTGATTTTTCGCAAACACCCACACTGAGCGCACCTAGCGAGGCGCTGCCATCACCTACACCAGCCGCAACAGGGCCAGAAGATGCAGACGAAACGAACGAAAAGACTACGAGGCGCTCATCGAGAGCCAAGAAGTCGCGTCTACCTGCGCCAGCGTCAACCGGACCGGCACCAGCGCCCAAGATTGCCATCCGCCGCAATGACGGAAACGAAGTGGTTGTCCTGAAGAAGGACGATGCAAAGGTCCTGGCAGACTTGACCCGCGCAAACACACGCAAGAATAAGCAAGGCGCATTCTGTGTTACTGTTCGTTTGATGAAGGCTCAAATGGATGCAATGACCCTACCACCAATTAACGAGACTCCTAAAGAAATTGTCATCGGCAAGAACGTACGTTGGGACGAGCAGCTAGCATACTATCAAGAGAATCCGGATACTATCGCCAATGCCCTAGCCGAGGCAGAATCGCTAGCTACCCCAGACGAGCTAAGCTTCTCAGACACTGGGTCTGAGCCAAAGAAGAAAAAGAAGGAAAAGACGAGCAAGACTTCTACACCAAAGATCCGGAGAGTCAGGGGCCTAGGCACTGCCAACGGCACTCCAGCAAAGGGTTTGACCGCTCCATCGTCTCTCCTTCCGGAATCAGTACTAGAAGAAAAGGAAACAAGCCAAGACAAACCAACACAGCAAAAACACCCGCAAATACCCAAGCCAAAAGTGGCCAAGGCAAAGAAGATGCCCGTCGCACCCACCTCCATCGACAGCAGCGTTTCCTCAAGCGTATCCGAAACCAAACTACCATCTCTAGACGTAGCACCTGTTGGTGTACCATCCTCGTCTCTCCCCACACAGCGCAAAAGCCGCCTTGCTGCACCCAAAAAAGTCATCCTACCACAATTGACCGGCTCTGTTGAGAAAGAAAACTCCATCCGCGCCGCAGGCTTAACAGATGCTACGCCGAAGAAGGGCATCCCAGCACCGAAAGTCATGGTTGGTCACTCTGGTATTGCGACACCTACATCTACGGGTATGGAATCGGGCTTACCGCGTCGACGGGGGAAAAAGCATTAGGGTTACATGTCCTTGTTCACACTTGACGACTTCTTTTCTCTGTGCATATATACGTTTTGTGGGTGTTTTTGTTAGGGCTTTTTAAGAAGAGCATCGTATTTGTTGCCATTTGTATATCGTTCTATACCACTTCTTCATCTTTTCATGGTTTGGGTAGATTCTCAGGGCGGGTTTAATCGCCTGGCGTTTGATGGGGTTGACTCTTGGGAATAGGGAGGGAGAGTCATGTAGAGGAGTTCCTTGGTCTGTCTTGTTTATATGGGGTTGTTTGCATAGGCGTGCACATTAATGAATTATGGTATATTCTTCTTTGTCTTTTTTTAACTCTCAAACATCTTTCACTGGTCCAATATAGTTGTTGGCAAGGACATTTAAACACAACCCCCTTTTTTTTCTCCATTACTTTACCACACTCTCTGTCACGAGAACTCATCATATCCCTCTAGAATTTTTTTTTTAAATCTCTAGCCCCTTACAAAACCAAGAAGAATATAAGGTTACTGGAAAGCAATTCAATGTCGAAATTAATCTCTTTACGATTTCAGAGACCGCAAAAAGGAGTGTTTAGGTTTAGGTGCCTAAGAAGCTTTTTTGAACCTTTTCCTTGATTAATACATACTTTAAAACGATTTTCGTGAGATTGTATTCAGCTGCTTTAGACAGCCCTCTAAGTCAGACAGTACAAATAATTGAGATAAAAGTGAAGTTGTTTAACACCCTGACTTGGAATATCACCGATTATTCCCCTGATACAATCGAGGACTTAAAAGCAGGCAGCAAGTGGAAAATCGCGTCATTCAGAAGAGATTTTATCATGATAAGTTTCATTACTTTTGCTCACTTGCTATGGAGCTGCTTTGAATCAAGCTTCCTTCCCTTTTCCACCATGCGCCTTTTCATAAAACCGAATTCCCTTTTCCCGCCATGCATTCCGCATCATAATACCGACCAGGCATTCCCGCGTTCGTATTTCACACGTTTCTCTTGACATCACATTTCCACTGCCCTCCATGCTCATGTGCCTCAGACATGCAACTCGCTGGTCTTGGTGTTCTCAATGTAGTCCTTGTACTTAGCCAAGTGCTTTTCGAGGTCACTGCACACCTTCTCAACAATCCGCTCGCTACGTCCGATATACAGCTTGCTATCCATCATCTCATCAAGCTCACCCCAAATGGGCTTGAAGAACTCAGTCTTGCGGATACGCTCAACGAGATCGTTGGCCTGTCCTTCATTCTTGACCTGATAACCTGCTTCATGTGACAGCACACGGATCTCTTCGTGGGCATCCTGGCGGGAAGCTCCCTTGGCAACAAGGCGCATGATAATAGACTCGGTAATCATGAAGGGGAGCTCTGCCTGAATGCGTGCATCGATTCGCTTGGGGTATACGACAAGACCCGAAGTCACATTGTCAAGCGAGAGCAGGATCGCGTCAGCGAGGAGGAACATCTCGGGAATATCCATGCGACGAACTGCTGAATCATCAAGGGTGCGCTCAAAACCTTGGTCCGCGTGTGTCTGAGCAAAGGCTGCGTGCTTTCCCAGGAGTGCGCGCGACAAGCTGGCGACGCGCTCCGAACGCATGGGGTTGCGCTTGTAAGCCATTGCCGATGAACCGATCTGGGTGGACTCGAAAGGCTCCTCGAGTTCCTTGTAGCTCGCCAGGTTACGGATGTCGCCGGTGATCTTCTTTGCGCTCGAACCAAGGCCACAGACTGCGTTCGCAACGATCAAATCAACCTTCCTAGTGTAAGTCTGGGAAGAGACTGGGTAGCAAGACGGGAAGCCAGTCTTCTTGCATAGCAATTCGTTGAGTTGATCGCATTTGTCGCCGTCTCCCTTGAAGATTTCCAAGAAAGAAGCTTGCGTTCCCGTAGTACCCTGAGCACCGCGAAGTAGCAAACGCTCGCGCACGCGTTCGAGGTCCTCAAGGTCGAAGAGAAGATCCTGAGCCCAATGAGCAGCACGCTTGCCGACAGTGATGAGCTGGGCAGGCTGAAGGTGCGTGTAAGCAAGTGCAGGCTCAGACTTCCACTTCAGGGCAAAGGAACGGAGGTTGGAAATGACCTTGGCGAGTTTGGGAATGAGAAGATCCAGAGCATCGCGCATCAGCAGAAGCTCGGCGTTGTCAGTCACGTAGCAGCTGGTTGCCTTGTATTTTGTCAGCTCTTGTGTCCTCAGTACCGACACTGTGAGCATGATCAACTTACTCCGTAGTGAATGATTCCTGCAGCAGCAGGGGCAACCTGACCGAAAGCGTGAACGTGGGCCATAACATCGTGCCTCCTCAGCTTCTCCTCGGCAGCAGCAACAGCAAAGTCCTCGTTGGTGAGAGTCAAATGCTCTCGCATTTGGGTCAATGCTTCGTCAGTGATGCCCTCGACGCCGAGCTCCTTCTCCGACTCTGCGAGGTAGAGCCAGAGTTTGCGCCAAGTTGAATGACGATTCTCTTTGGAGAAGAGGTGCGACATCTCAGAAGAGCTCCAGCGGCCCGTCAAAGGCGTGGTGTAGGTGCCGGAGGCCATGGTGTGTGGGGTAGTTGTAGGTGTTTTGTGGTTGACAGGTGTGGGTTAGCAGTGTACCGGATCGGTCCTTGTCGGGATAGGTAGGGGACCAGTGTCGAAAGTGAGCAAGGAGATGAAATTGAACCAAACCTCGGCGAGGAAGTGATTGTGAGAAGTGAGGATTGAAACTGCGTAGGAGCTCACTTAAGTAGTAGTGTTTGCGTTAAGCCCAATCTAGTAATCAGGGCAGCAGGTATATCGGCAGTGGCGTTCACTATGGATATGGAAAGCAATGTCCATACGTTGTGTGCTTGCGCCAATCGCGGTGAATTTACTTTCTGTATGTAGAATGTTGGGCAAGAGTGATGATCTCACGTGTAGTCAAAAAACTTTTGGACCTCGCTAGACCCCCACATTAAGCATTGCACCATTGGAAACGCCTCTCGATGGAATCGACAGTGTCGAATGAACCCATTGAACGCGGACTCATGCTGTTATACACGAATTTTCATGTGATTTTACAAAATTGCCTGCTGAAAACTTACAAAACACGCGCCGATGGAAAGAGTGCGGGATTTGCAAAATTCTAGGTGCAAGTAGGCGGTACCTGGGTGCCAAGAAAAAATATCGAAGGCGCACCCTGCAACCAACCCAACAAGGTGGCGCGAGAAATCTCAGATTTCTTAGGCTGTCCATGGATACCAGTCCTGTTGGATACGATTTGTGACGGGCCGGCGTTAGGAGGACAATCGGCATCATGGACATGCATGTATTCGACGGTAGTACTACTATGTACACACAGCCTGGACCGTGCTATCTCCCCTCCCCTTGGGTACTCCACAAAATTCTCTTCCCCAAGCGGGCGTTCATGCGGCTCTGCCCAACTCCACAATTATTCCCGTCTCCGCGGGCTTACAGTGCTGGCCCTCGCCACACGTCGCGATTGATCTTGAACAGGTTGCTCTGCTTGTGCGGGAGACTAATCTCGCGCTCCTTGTAGAAACCAGCTTCTTGGAGATAGTTTGCAAGCCTGCAATCGTTAGCATGGTGTTCCCACAAAGAGTTTCCTAGCGCAATGCTTACTTTTCGTTGTCGACCCTTGGTTCCAGCATGACTCTTTCAGTCCGGTTGTCCGCAAGCCAACAGTAGTGGACTAACGCGCTTAGCCATATCCTGATCCTATGCGGGCCCCGAAACTCCTGTTCGCCCACCAAACAATGAAAGCCTCGATCATAGTCACCAACCATAGGCAAATACTTGCCAAGGTTATCCTCCTTGACCCAGTAGATCTCAAAGTAGCCAAAAGGTTTCCCGTCCCAACATCCAATGACGGGGAAAGAGTTTTTCGACCGCAAGCCGTTCTTGAGAAATTCTTCTTGGTGGGACTGAGGGCCTGCTTCACCCCAAAAATGTGAGACGCGGGCATCGTTCATCCACTTGTGCAGGTATTCCACATCAGACATGCCATTGTTTGCCACAGAGGTCGGAGAATCAGGTGCGGTAGTGCCACTAAGTCGATGCGGATTAGGTACCTGGTCAGACACAGGGCCTTGATGACGCACTGCCTTTGCTGAAAGCGAAGCCACACGGAATGATAGGTATTGCCCAACGCTGGGAATGTATCTCGTGTATAGTACCTCACCCTGCCGCGGTGGCTTCGGACGTATGGGGTGGCGGGTATTGTTTGTGAAGACATACTGCGCTGGGGGCGGAGGATAGTAGGTGGGTAGGTGCGAGCTCGAGTGAAAAGGACCCGGTGCGGTGGGCGACCACAGGCCTTGCGAGATCTGATCCGTCTGCTGTTCTTTCTTCGAGTCAACTACAGCGGCGGGTGACGCCGGTCGTGAAGGATACGGTGAAGCTGTTGGAAAGGGTGTGGCCAACGGCGAAAGAGTAAAGAGGTAGATTCTGGGATCCAACTGCCAAAAGGTTCTCCGGCTAACGAACATGCGTGACCAGCCTTCGGGCGAGGATTCGTCTTGGGCGCAGCCCACTGTTGAGTCCTCAGTGGCTATGAGACCCATGCGCTCAAGCTTGGGCAACACGACCCTGCCCTTGAACACGCCTTCTCTGTTGATGTTGATGCGCCACTCTCCTTTGGGCTTTCCTGCATTGGCCGTGCTCTTGGACAGCGTGTTTGTGACCTGCAGCGTTGGCTCGGGCTGGTGGAAGTACCAGTACAGCGTCGCCCACAGCATCATGGCGATTTGGCGCGTCGGCGACGCAGCGGGCCTAAATTCGTTGCTACTCGGATTCGAGATGGACGATATGTATAGATGGTCTCCAGTTAGTGTTGGGCGCTTGAACCGATGCACACGACGCGGAGGAAATAAACCCTCTTCACCCTCCTGCGGCTGCAGCTGTTGCTCCTGTTGCTCGTCGGCAGCTTCATCTTCTGAATTGAGCACAACTGTCCAACCAGGCGGGAAATGCGAATGGGTTTGGATGTCGCTGGACTTGAAGAAAAGACCGCCAAATACCGGCGTTACTGTGAGGTTCTGGCCGTTGGGTAGGTGGACGACGTTGACAGGCGCCATGATGACGTTGGCGGGGTAGAAGAATGGACGAGTCGGGAGCGCAGACTACGGCCAAAGTCAAGGAAACGCAGGGAGCGGTTCAATCAGCCTACATGGCGTGAGACGGCGGAGAAGTCCAAGTGACTGATTAGCAAATCATTCCAAATTGAGCCCACGAGAACGTCTGGTCTGCAGGCACGCGATGTTCAAAAAAAAATGTGTCGCCTCCCGTCCCCAAGACCCGTGGCTGGTTCAATTGCCCGAGAACGGCCGGGCAAGGCTTGTTGGCTGCACGGCATTAGGGGAACATGGTGGCAGCTCTTGTGATGGGCAGCTATTATTTGCAGTCGAGGCTCGACAATGCTATGTATGCACATGGATCAGCTCGTTGCGACTGACTGACACAATACATTCGTATGTACATACCATCCAAGTAGGCGCGGCATCATTGGTGGGGGATGCATGGCCGTTGCAAGGGCGAGGGGGAGCTCCCAAGCTCGGCGGTCGGCATCTTCTGCTATGACGAAATGTCTGTCGATAAAGCAGCATCCCCAGAGCCCCAACAGCAAGACACACCACTGTAACACCACCTGACAAGCCCAATTGACCTGCTCCCCCCATCAATTGAACTCACAATGAACACCACTCTTCTCCGCACATCCGCCCTCCGCTCGGCTGCCCGAGCCGCCGCGCCCGTTACCTCGAGGGCTGGACTGGCCGGTACCACCTTTGTTCGCGGAAAGGCTACTCTGCCCGACCTTCCCTGTATGCCTCTCCATCCCATCAACCAATGAGTTCCTTTCTTGCTCTAACACGGCTACAGACGACTATGGCGCGCTCGAGCCCTCCATCTCGGGCAAGATCATGGAGCTACACCACAAGAACCACCACAACACCTACGTGACCTCGTTCAACAACTTCAGCGAGCAGATTGCCGAGGCCAAGCAGAAGCAGGATATCCAGGCTCAGATTGCCCTGCAGCCGCTCATCAACTTCCACGGCGGCGGCCACATCAACCACACCCTGTTCTGGGAGAACCTCGCGCCCACTAACCAGGGTGGTGGTGAGCCACCATCTGGCGCTCTCGCTGCTGCCATCAACACCAACTATGGCAGCCTCGATGCTTTCAAGGAGAAATTCAACACTGCGCTCGCAGGTATCCAGGGCAGCGGATGGGCATGGCTGGTGCAGGACACGCAGACTGGCGGCATCCAGATTAAGACATATGCCAACCAGGACCCTGTGGTTGGCCAGTTCCGTCCCATCCTCGGTGTCGACGCATGGGAGCAGTAAGTCCTCGCACGGTTTCAATGCAAAGACAAGTTGCCATACTAACACCATCCTAGCGCCTACTACCTCGACTACCAGAACCGCAAGGCCGAGTACTTCAAGGCCATCTGGAACGTTATCAACTGGAAGGCGGCCGAGAAGCGTTTCAAGTAAGCGATTGGACCCACCGCGAAGACAGAGTCAATAGCTTGTCAACTGGCTGGGCCTTTTGAACGCAGCGTCTAGCCTAGTAATGTGTATATATCAGCCCGGCTTGAAAACTAAGAAACACCATGGCAATGCCTATTTTTTTATGATTCATCGCTCTATTAGTTTCTGTGTAACGCTTTTATCCCATATTAAGTCCCTTTTTTTTCGCACATATACGGTACCAAGTCCTTCTAATCCCTAAGCGCTGACATGCAGATAAAGGTGGTGCTGAAAAAAAAACTCTTTGTATAGTTACAGGATAGAACAACAACAGCAAAAAAAAGGGTTAACGCGATGCTATGCTATAGTATTCCAATATCCTTCCATCCCAGACGCTGGTAACGAAAAAACCATGGTGCTCGACGCCTAAACAAACATCCAGACTATAAAAAAGAGAGTGAAGAAAGAACCCAGTAAAAAAGACGGCGCAATCAATTCCTAATGCCCGACATCCACCGATCAATCTGGTCCCTCTGTCTCGGATCCATGGGCGGTCCCATCATCTGTCCTGGCATCATGCCCATGGGCATTCCCATAGACATCCCGCCACCCATACCTCCCATTGGCATACCACCACCCATGGGCATCTGCATCTGCATGGGCATTTGCATGCCGCCCATTCCGTTCATTTGCATGGGGTTCATCTGCATGGGCATTCCGGCTCCACCGCCCATCATGGTGCTTTGACGCATGCCGCCGCCCATCATACCCATGTTCATGCCCATTCCCATTCCCATTGGCATGCCCATGTTCATTCCCATGCCCATACCGCCGCCCATCATGGGCTGTTGCATGGGCATGTTCAGGTTGGGCGCGGACATCATGCCCATGCTGTTCATGCCCAGCATACCTGGTAGCTGTGGTTGCGGCTGCGGTTGAGGTGGCGGTGGTGACGGAGATCGCGGAGCGTTGAGTTTGGAGATACTAGCAGCCATCTGCCCATTCGTGATTGGGTTGTGGGCATCCTTGTAGGCTTGGATCTTCTTGCCCAAAGGAATGTTGTCATCGTCATCATCCTTTTCCTTGTCGCCGATGCCCGGGACCAGAGGATCCATGGGTCCATAGCCAGAGGTTCGCCGATATGCCGTTAGACGTTGCTGCTTTCTTCGCTCCTCGTCGATAATGTTTTGGTGCAGAAGACTACCCTGGGGGAGATTCGAAATCAGTGCTTCATTCGACACCTTGCGCGCTTGGTAGTGAGGATCAAGTGGATTGGCAGAGAGAATGTCTGCAAGAGAAGAGGCACCACGTAACATGGGACGCTGAGGCATCTGGTCACCGCGGGCCGCCGCCTCAGCTTGGAGGCGGGCGCGGCGCTGGCCAAGAGTCTCCTCCTCTTCCTCCCCAGCATCTGGGGCAGCTGCAGCTTTGTGTGCATCATGGGCTTCATCTTGGCCATCTGAAACGCCGAGTTTGCTCATCATCTCAGCCGCAAAATCACCGCTCACAGTGCTCTTGCGAACGTCATCGCCCAAGGCCGCATCAAGCTGTTGCTTCTCCTTTAGCCGGCGCATACGCTCAGCCAGCGTCTCACCCTCCTCTTCCTCTGAGATGGGATTAGCCATGACGTCTGGAACCGCAAGATTCGGTTCATGGCCAGGTTGTCCAGGCTGGGGAGCCTGGCGAGGTCTCGGGTCAGCCCCACGAAGCCTATTTCGCCGACGACTCAAGGGTTCGTTGTCCTCCATTTCACGTTGCTCAATCAGACCCACAATCTTGCGTGGAGCATAGTTTGGCGCCGCTTGTTTATACAAAACACCAAGCGGTACATCGTCCTCGGAATCATCATCTTCTCCAGGGGCTTCCCAGGCAAGGTTGACCTTTTTGCGGATTCTCCGCTGCTTCTCAGCTTCGGCTACATCGTTCATTTGAAGCAAAGTTTGGCGACCGTCAATCAGACCTTGATCCATCAGGGTGACATAGTTCATGTTTCTTAACTTTTGCTTTGCTTGTCGCAACTGAAGTTCAGCTAGCAAGGTAGTTGGAGCACCAAATTGGGGTTCTTGATCTTCTTCTTCTTCTTCTTCTTCTTCTGATTCCTCCTCCTCTTCCTCCTTATCTTCATCACTCGAAGTATCTTCGTGTTCACGATCATTGTCATCAGAGTGGCGGTTCGGGCTCTCCTGGGAATTTCGAGAATGGTCCAAATCAGTTGCATTATGAGGGCCTCGTTCTTCTTCATCACAATGGTCCAAGTCGTCACTTAGGCTCATCCTGTTTTCACTTGCCTTGACCAGAAGTAGGTTCATATCAGCCGAACTATTGCGTTTCTTCAGTTTCTTGAGGCGTTCTCCATTCGCATTGTGATTAGTGTCAAGTATGTTGAAGGAGCTTCGCCTCCTGGTTTGCTGTAGTGTTGGCGGCACTTCTGGCAGTTTGGAGCTCTTGCGTTTGTGATCTACACCGTAAACCTCACGGGTTACATCGCCGCCAAAAGGATGGTCGGTAAACGCAGAGACTGGTGCACGTGCAGATGCATCCAAGATGCTTTCGAGTGTGTCTTGGGCAGATTCACCTTTGACAGCAAATTCCTGCGAAGGTGCCACTTGATTGTCGAAGTAAGCACTTGCTCGCAATTGAGGTGGTAGGCCCATTAAACTCTGTCTCGTCTTTTTCTTATTTGCCTTGGAAGTCTCTGCGATGTAATCTGGGTTCATAGGCATCGATTTCCTGTTTTCCGCCTGCATCGATTCAAGAAGTTGTGTCCGGCGCCGGGCTCTTGTATCACTGGGGGGTAGTTGTGATAGACGTTTTGGAAGGTTGAGCATTTGTGGAACAGGGGCAGGATAGAAGACCATGCCATCTTCAGGTGGTGGAGCGCCATAGGGCTGATGGCCTGAGTTGGTATCCGTAAATGAGTGGCTGTAGGAAGATGGCCGGCTGTGACGGCGACTACGGGGCGATGATTCTGACTCTTCCTTGACAGTATCTGGGCAGTGAACACCATCAAAGTCTTGCCATAATGTGTGTACTTGATGAGTGGTATCGGTTGAGGCCGAGGTGGGCGGTCGGTCAGGGAGGTTGCGGTGGTCTGGATACTGATCGTGCATGTCTTCAGAATAGTGACCGTCAGGGTGCCTAGGAGGTGTTCCCGTCATGACGGTATTGCGCAAGTCCTCGGGCAGTCCATTGGCGACATCATCAAATATCCTAGTAAAGGACGAGACTTTTCGCTGTGGGGGTGATATTGAATCACGGTCCTCGGGGGGCGGAGCAGTGGGAGGCAGTGTGGGTGACGATGTTTGGGCAGCATAGTATCTTGGTCTGACCTTAACTTGCCCTGGATGTACAACCTGGCCCAGCCGTGACGCTTTGGACTCTGATCGCTGACGCTGGTTTGAAGTCGGCGGTTTGGGCAAGGATCCCGAGCGCAAAGAATCGGCCGGTGACGTGATGTACCCGCCTGGAGAGTAACCCCCCCATCGTGCATTGCCGTTCAGGTCGACTATAGAGTTGGCATGGGAGCTGATGGAGACGCCGCGGCTCCTGTTGCTAAGACGCCTGGTAAGTTCTTCGCCCGTCTGGAGAGAGCGCAGCGAGGAGCGGCGACTGTCTGTCAGCTTGAGTTCCGAGTACGTCTTACGTATCTCCTCCTGGAGGTCGGAGCCGGCCTCGCTCATGCGCTCGGCATGTTCCTCGAGACGCTCAATGTTGCCCAAGTAGGCCCCTTGCAGCGATTGCAGATCGGGGACTGGGTGACGGATGTCGACGTTGCGCTTATCGGGAGAGCGTATGGGGACTGGCTGCGAGGGTGGAGGCGTGGAGGCCATGGCGAACAGCCGGCAGCAGGGAGACTGCTGGACAATGGGAGTCGGTACTTATGCGTACCTGGTTGTCGTAAAGGGGAATCTGGCAATGTTTGTTGCACCGACACCGACATGGATGGAGGGTGATAGGGTCCCAACCAAACCCCTTCCAATAATAGCACGCGTACCGGCCAGGGTGACGCGACGCTAACCGCCATCTTGGCACGGTCACGTTACGAGCGTAATACTTGTACGAGTGCCTTAACTCCGCATCCCGCAATTTTATCCACTGCCAATGCCACCACTGCCTGTACACACCCGCGTCGTGGACACAGGGAGAATCGCAATCGTGTACTTTGTCTGAGACATTGCAAGCTCCTGCCGTGACCACCTGGCGACACGGCCACTGCCCTGTGCACTGCACGCGCGACGAGCATTCGATAGTTGGTTCCGTATACGACAAGACCAATAAATCAGTCTTGCATTCACCGCCACCATGGACGCCGACGGTGGCAAGCGGAAGCACAGCTTCAGACAGCAGCCGAACAAGCGCGCAAAGGTCGAGGATGGCAGCGCGCTCAAAACGGGCTTTGGCGCGAAGATGCTTGCCAAGATGGGATACAAGGGCGAAGGTGGTCTGGGAAAGGAAGGGGCCGGTATCTCAGAGCCCATCCAGGTCGTCAATCGCGGCACAAAGGGAGGCATCGGTTCCGTGGCGGAAAAGAGTGAACAGCAGAAGCGCGAGGAGCGGCGCAAGGCTGAGGAGAATGGCGAAAGGTATGTTGACACGTCTGAGGAAGAGCGCGAGGAGAGGAAGAAAAGAAAAGCAAAGGCTAGAGGCGAGGCACGCACCGCAACTCCCCGACCCAAGAAGACGTTGTACGAGTTGGAAGCCGCTGGAATGCATGTACCCCCCGTACTGCAGTCCATCATCGACGCCACGACAGGGGCATCTACTCCTGCTTCTGGCGTATCACTTCGCGGACCCGACATTGTTCCGTTTGAAAATTCGCTACAAGCACGGGTGCGGAGAGACCTGAACAGCTTCTCGGAAGCCTTTGAACAGCTACAAATCGAATCGCAGTCCATTGCACCCCAGGAGTATGTGCTACAGAAGGAGCTTGAGGCTTTGGAACGACAAATGGACGAGCTTGAGGATCTGCATTCACGAATGCAGTCATTGCGTACTGGTACATTTACGGCTGTCTGCAAAGGGCTCAAGAGTTTGCGGGCTGCATATCCGTCGAAACCACTGCATCGCGAGTCGATCGCTGTCATACATCCACACTTTTCCAAGGTGACGGCTTCATGGGACCCGCTCGAGGATGCGCTTGAAGATATGGCAGCAGCCTTTGCGGAACTGGCCAACATCATACAGCCTCGAAGCAGAAGAATCGTGTCTCAGGCCTACACCCATCCTTCAGAAGCATTGGTCAATCAGAAGACAGTTGAAGAGGAAGATACAATCAAGCGTGGAACTACATCGGCCTACGAATCTATGATGCTGAAACTGTGGCTTCCTGCCGTCAGCTCAGCAGTGACACAATGGGATGTGAAGCATCCGCGGCCCTTGTTGCGTTTGGTAGAAGTGTGGACACCGGTGCTTCCACCTTTTGTAGGCAAACGAGTGCTTGAACAAGTTACGCGGAAGCTGTCGACTTCTATTCATGAGTGGAATCCCCGAAAGTTCAAGAAGAGCCCACACACATGGGTTATGGAGTGGCTTCCGTTCCTCGGGCCTGCAGATCTGGATCCCAAAGGATCTGGGCTTGTTGCTGAAATCAAGCGCAAGATTCGTCACGCACTGCACTCAATTGATCTCTCCAAGGGGCCACTGCCCGGAATGGAGCAATGGCGAAGGCTTTTTGGCAAGGGCGAGTTTGATCACTTGCTTACCTCGCATCTACTACCACGCTTGGCAGCCCATCTACGAGACTACTTTGAAATTGACCCTAACGAACAGCAAGACGTGGCACCACTGAAGGCTGTGTTTGCATGGAAAGGGCTGTTATCGAATGAGGTCATTGGGGAGTTATTGCGGGCGCATTTCTTTCCCAGGTTTCTTGCAATTCTTCATCAATGGGTGTCGAGCGAAGGGATGGTGTTTGAGGAAGTCCGGGCTTGGCTTGCGTGGTGGAGGAACGACGTGCAAAATGAACTGAGCAATGTGTCCTCTGTGGAGTCGGGCTGGAAGGAAGCATACACGCTTGTTTACCAGGCAAAGAAACTTGGCGAGGCGAGGTTAACAGATCTCCCGACGCCTCAAATGGAGAGTACTGGACCCTCTGTAGAGACGGTACGACCGGCCCAGCCAGTCAACAAGGAGCCAGCACCATCTGCGCCGCCAGTACGAGAACGAACGTTCAAGGACACGGTGGAGCGATTTTGTGAAGAGGAGAGTCTGCTCTTGATTCCGCTGCGTGAAGCACACGACCAGACGGCCCTGCCGCTCTTCCGCATCACGGCAAGCGCGACGGGACGTGGAGGTGCGGTGGTCTATCTCAAGGATGATAGTGTGTGGGTGCAGAACAAGAAGGATAAGAGCGTGTGGGATCCGATAGAGCTGGGCGAAGTGCTCATTGCCAAGGCCGAGGGCCAGTGAAGCTGACGGCGTCATCGGTGTGCTCATGGAGACTATGGAATGGGAGATGCAATTGGGTAGTGGGATTCTGGCAGGGTAAGCCTCTATAGCCTCTGATGGGCAGATATGTGTGCTAGCATTCGCTAATCCAGCATCGGTCTGATGCATGCCTAGGCAGTGATGGTGACATGGCGGCAGGCGGGCGGGCGTAGGTATGTACATGGACTGGGCGTGGAAATGGAAGCAGCCGACATCATGTTGACGGCGTTGAGAGCACTTGTTTCCCCTGACGACTTGCGTATCAGTGACCCACCCGTGTGAAGGCAGACGCGCGTAAGGCGCCCCCATCAAGTGGCGGAGGCTTGCATGAATCGCTGAAGTGGCAGAGACGGAGCCAATGCCGGGTGCGGTAGCAGAAAGACGACGGTGGTGCGGTGATGCGGTGATGCGGTGATGCGGTGGTGCGGTGATGCAGGTGGTCCATGGGGGCGAGTGGGCGAGACACGGCACATGGCTGCATGGCAACGTGGGAAAGGCGACGGGGATTGCGGAGAATTTGCAATCCACGAGGCCAGAGGCAAGGCCTGAGGCCATGGTGGACTGGCGGGCGAGAGGGTTGGTGATGGATGCTGGCTGGCACTAGCACAGGCGAGGCGATGTGACTGCTAGTGCCATGGGCTGGCCGTGTGCTGATTGGCCGGGCCGGGCGCTTAGGCAAGCTGCAGTCTGGCCAATGGGAGGGCGGGGCCGCACGAGCATCTGCATTCGGGGACGCTGCAGGCACAGGCTGAGGGCAGGCCGTTCATGCATGCGGACCGTCTGCTCCCGCCGACTGTGCCTCGAGTTGGCAGCAAGATCGCCCTCGGCCCTGGACGGCGGGTTGCACTTGTCTTGTTTCAAGCCAGGGCGGGCGAGGCGGACAAACATGTTTCCCCGCTGCAATGCTTGTCTCGACGACCAGCTGCCGACACATGCAGAGAGGCCTCATCACGTCCTGTCTTCGTACAGCCACTCGGAGAGAACAAGAGCAATGGATGGCCATGGCAAGCCACTACAGCTATCGGCCTCGCTCCCGTCTGGGCCTAGCGCGCGCCCAAGCGACCCCGCTCCAGCGGCTGATTGAGTGCATCCACTGGACGCCTGCATGGCGCTCAGCATAGCGCCCGCCCAATCACGCCCCGCCTCTGCTCTTCAACCCATCACACCCACTCGTCCGCCTCTTGCGCCCGACCACTTGCAGCCCGCTGATCACAAAGTACTTACCCGCTGCGAATCCCTCTTCATCTCGCCATGTCGCCTCCTGTTACACTCTGCATTTCACCCGGTTCCTCGCTGTCGGCAAGTGAGCAGCTAACCTGTGTGACTGCAGCCCTAGACCATCGCTTATCCTGGCAGTGCGAGAAAAGATAGACGTACCCCCTCGCCGTCCTGTTTCCTGGCTTATATTTCCTGGCCTCCATCACACCTGGAGCCATGCTCGAGAGGGCTCTTCCACCAGCCCTGCTCTCCCTCCTTCTTGTTGCAACTCGTGTTTCTGCTGCACCCTACGACTTCACCGACAACTACCGCGACCCCGCCCCGGCGCCTGAAGACGGCCCTCCTGCTTCATATCACGCTACCCGAGACAAGAGTGTTTTACCCTACGAAATCTGTGGTATCGTTGGCGGCTACGTCTTCACAGTACTTATTTGGGGGGTACTGCTCCTCACCGTCGGCAGAAGGATGAGACGAAAGGCACTCGAACCACCCAAGCAGCTGGAGCTGGAATTGGAGAACAAGCCTGCAAGACCAACAATCAAGACTCCGGGCCTCACATCCCCGCCACTATCCGCACGATCGTGGTTGAGGAAATTCAAGAAGAACGACTCTGTTCCTAGCAGCCCGCAAAGCCCTGTCGTCCAATCGCCCTCTTCTTTTGATCAAAAGGTTCTCGACGCCCACCGCGACCAAGATCAAGCCGACATGGAGCGCCTCTATGCTGCCGTCATGGAGTTTGACGCAAAGAAACAATCCGCCAGAGCCAGCGTAGACGAGACAGAGCCTCTTCCACCACCTACTGACCGGAGAAGACCGTCGGCCATTAGTGTCGCACGTTCTCAAGACAATTACGACAGCCCTGCGTCTCCTGTTCGAGCCATTTACCCTCCAGGCCACCAGGATAGGCCGACAACCGCATCAAACACACGGGACCGTCTCCGCGCAGAACAACCAGCCCCTGCAAGCCCCCGCAGCATCCTCTCCAAGCGCTCGCAAACATCAAATGCTACAACAAGCAGTAAGAACACGCGCTTCAACCTCAAGAATCTACGCATTTCCGGCCCCATTGCCAAATACCCCGGCGCAGATGATGACGATGAAGCTCGACGGCCTCTAACCCCTCGCTTCTACGCGCCTGGTGCTCCGCCCTCGCCCCCAACCCAGACAAACTCGCCAACATCGCCTTATGAGGCGGATGAAAGCCTGGACCGAGTCCAGCCACTACCTCATCCTGCCCCCCATCGCCGCGGAAGCTCAACCACATCCAACAACCCCGGCCTCACCATCTCCACCCCACCCCCGCCGTCGAAACAGAAGACCGCCACATCACCCAACCAATCCCTCCCACTCCGTTCCTTTGCCTCACCCCTCAACTCTCCCGGCATCCAAACCACGGTGCTCGACCGCCGCGTCGACAGACTGGCCTTGGGCACTCCCAAGACGGGCGTCCCTTTTACACCCTACAGCCCTTATATGCCATTTACGCCCGTCACGCCTGTGACTCCGCATTTGACCACCAGGCGCGATCGCAAAATGGAGAGGAAGATGGAGGGAAGGAGACGCCGTGGTGGAGAAGAAATGGTTCAGACGCCAAAGGAGATTTTTGGTGATGCTTATTAGTCCTTTTTGTTGTTGTTGTTGTTGTTGTTGTATCCAAGAGAAATGCCCAGAAGATCAACAGGAGCAGATAGGTGTGTGTGTGTACAAGGTAAACTGGGGTTAGTATCTGTTAGCGCGTTTTTTTTATTTTTTCCTCTTTTACATGATGACCATCTTATCTCCCATTTCCACAAGTTGGAATTGGCAAAGGGATGTATACCCACCCCGCTTGATGGCCGGGTTGATGATGAATTACCTCTATTTCTTGTATCTATCTATGTCTATGTACGGTCTGGCGTCTTATCGCTCGTACGTGTGCGCAACGCTTTTTTTTTTGTATCTTTAGCTTATTTCCTATCTTCGAGTAAAACAGTAGACAAACTCTATCATGATGATGAATATAAATCTCTTTTGCATACGGTGCACATGCCGTATTCCAACTTATAGCTATACCCGTGGTTTTTCTTGCTGTTGTGAGTGCTGTAATAATTTTTTTTACCCGTGAGGTATCCCAGGTAGGTATCTTATTAGAAGTGCTACCATGTGTCACCTTGTGTTATTATTGTTTCTTTCCTCGAAGTTGTATCATTTCAAGTATGCTTTTCAACGCATCTTTCCTTGAATAGCCAAAAAAAACAGCGCGGAAGTGACGTTTTTTTTTGCGGACAGCGAAACATTCAATGTCAAATATTGAATGCTTGAGAATTTGACAAAGGTATTGTTTTTTTTTTTTCGTCGAAAAAAAGAAGACCTTGTATTTCCAGCATCAAAGGTTTTATTCTGTTTACTGTCTCTATTTACCTGCCTGTAAAACAAAATACTAATTAAAAGTTCATCTACCTTCTTTTTTCATATTTCATATTTTGATGTTCAAGATTTTGTGCCATACAACTAAAACGCAATTATTATATCAAATTATATGTAAGATTTTTTTTTTCATCTATTACCAACATCATTTGTTAAAGAAAAGCTTACAACCGAGAGAATAAGAGCAAGAAATAACTAAATCTTCAGCATGGATTTGCAAGCAAACGAGAAAAACGCACACACCCCACCAGAAAAGAAAAAGTAGGACAACGATTTTACACCTATCCATCAATGTGTATCAATAAACACCACCCTCTTCAACAAAGACCCAATGGCAGAAAAACACAAATGTCAACAGCGCTTGGTCCTATGTATAACCAGCCACGAAAAATTTGCATTACAAGTTCTCTTTTTAATTGACCTCGACCTCACCACCCCGAGCGCCAAAATCATGGGTGTATATGTGTCAAACTAGCCCTCCCTTCTACTGCCTCCTCCCCCTCCCCCTCCATCGCTTCTACCCCTCGCCGCTTCTCCTTTCTTCCCTCCCCCCCCCTCCTCTCGTCCTGCTCCTGGACCACGAAGCTTCAACTGCAAGGATAAAAATCACCTTTCCCAACGCACCGACAATACATTCTTGTTTCAAAGTCTAGCGAAGGCACGCGTCTCTCTGAACCAACCTGACATGAAAAAGAACAAGATGAAAAGAAAAAAAAAGTAATAGTAGTAGAGGTAGAAGAAGGGGAAGAATGCTGCCGCCTCACTTACATCATCTGAGCGACAGCCAAAGAGAAAATCCGAGTCTTGGTGAAGAAACAAAAAGTCGAGCCGAATGTGTATGGAGGACGAAAAGTCACGGCGAAAAAAAAGCTGCAGCCGCTAAATGCAAAGATAATCCGAATCCGACTAGTATCGCTTGTTGGCAGATGGAACGTTGTAATGCCGTACCTGTAGAATGGGAAACAAAAGAAATTGATAATGGCGATGATCGGATGAGCTGGGATAACTGACGCTAGGAAATGGACGCCACAAACGCCGTGCGCTGTATCGAGAGATTCCCATGAGCCTGGGTTGCACTGGAGCTGAAGTCAAGTTTTTTTTTTACCACTTGTGGTTTACGCAGGAGTAAGTTCAGATGTAGTTGCATGGTCGTTTGTGCATGGTATTGCGAAGAAAGCACCCGGAGGCGGGGATATCTGCATTCCCATAAGTTCCGAGCTTTGTCGTTTTCCGCTCTCAAAAGTTTGCCAGTCCATTCCTTGAGTGGCGTTTGCTAAAGCGCTTCCTACCCTTTACTGAGTCAGCATCGCCTTCTTTGCGAAGATGGCCATGGCGGGAGGCGGGAATGTTCACGCCCTCGAGGGCAGAGTCAGCTCCCAACGTACTGGTGGGAGTGGTGTGGTTTGAGACGAGCTCACTCAGGCTTGCATCAGCAGAGTACGAATTCGACATTGTCTGTGAAAAGGCATAGTCTCGAGCTTGTTCGATGCTATCCAGCCATTCTTGAGTAGAATACTTGCTGCCCTCGGGATCGCTGGTTGTGCTTTTTGTGTCTTCGAAGACGTACTGCTTGTCTCGCTAGAATTTGTTAGCCGGGGTTGCAATGTTGGAGCATGTCTACAACGTACCGTTTCTACGAGCCAAGCAGTAAGACCCTTGGAATCCTGGAACGATCTCCATGAACAGCCTGCCGAGAGCAATGACACCTCTTCCTTGAGCTTCTTGTCGTTTGTGCCTGCCGCACACATCAGAACACGAGCATTGGACGTAATCATTACGAGCCGCTGTCGCTTCTTGACAGTATTGCCGCCGAAAAAGCGCGAAAACTTCTTGGATGGCTCCGCGGGCTCTTCCTTTGCGCCCACAACATGACCAGCAGGATGCTGTGTGACAAACATATTTCCAAGCTTCAATATCCGTTCGTCTCGCTTTGTGAGGACCGGAGACCAATCAATGTCGAGCTGAGAGGGAGGGGGTAGTTCGGTGATGAGCCGTGGCTTTGGTCGCGCCTGGGGTTGGCTGGGGGCTGTTGCTGCGGGTGCGGATGGGCCTGAAAGCATGTTAGTTGCTTCGTTGCGTTTGTATCAAGGGACCGATTATACATGCCATTGAGCTTGATTGGTTCTTGCGGGGGCGCACTGTAGGATTTGAGGCGCGGAGCCTTTTGCTTCCACAGCCCCTTGCCCCATTGGATCCCGTCAAAAAAGGCATGATTCTTAATATGCTCCATAGGCAGTCGTGTCAATGGATCTAGGACTAGCAACCGCTCAACCAGGTCTTTTGCAAGCGGAGGGAAGCCGTCTGGAAATGAGTATTCGAGTCCGACAATTTTCTGAAATGTCATGTATTCGTTTGCAGCCTTGAACGGAGGTCTTCCGGCAAGTAGTTGGTAAATGATGCAGCCAAAGGCCCAGAGATCGCTCGCTTTGCACGCATTCTTATCCGTCAGTAGTTCTGGCGATACATATTCCGCAGTTCCCACAAACGATTGCGCGCGGTCCGACTCGCTGGTATCCAGAGGGTCACCACTTGGCCCGGCGCCATTTGATCTCTTCTGGTCTAGTATCTTTGCCGTGCCAAAATCCGTAATCTTGACATGCATTGCATCGTCGAGGAGGACATTCTCAGGCTTCAAATCTCGGTGGATTACGCCCTTGTTGTGCATGTAGTCGATTGCGTCGAGTATTTGGGCTCCGTAGAACCGTGTGCACTCGACGTCAAATGTGCCCATCTTCTTGAGGAAGCCGAGCAATTCACCACCAGATGCCAAGTCGAGGACAAAGTACAATGAGCGCTCGTCCTGGAAGGTGTAGTAGAGTCGAACAATGCCAGGGTGCTCTGTCAAGCGGTTGAGCGTATCCTTCTCAATGTTGACGTATTTGACCTTCTTCTCCTTGATGATATGGCGCTTGTCGAGCACCTTGATTGCGTACTCGCGCAGTGTCTGGCGATCTGTTGCTGCCAAGACGGTACTGTAGGAACCTTCGCCCAATGTCCTACCAAAGTTGAAGTCCTTGACACCCTTTTTCACCACGCGTGTGATTGGCCTACCATTCTGGTCTAGATCCTGTCTAGTGCTCACAGCGGCACCCCGCTCTTTCCACTCCTCGCTGCTTGAGAGCGGCCCGCCCTCGAGGCTGTAGGGAGAGCTGGACAATTGGGATGCCCCGGGATGGTGTGCTTCCATGGGCACCCGCCGCGAGCTTCTCCGTGGCGGGAGAGGCCCGTTGATGGCCGACATTTGTGCCGACTGGCGGTAGGGATCCCGTCTGCTGTGCTCTCTTGTGGGCATAGCACCCGGGGCGACTCGGGAGCTCGCAGTGCGGCGAATGTCCGTGGCCATTGCGTCGTCGTTGTAGCGGTATGTGCCAGGGGCGGTGGTGGACGAGGTGGAGAGGTTGGGATGTTGGTACATGCTCGTGGACACGGGGCGTTCTCGCATGGGCTGCGACGTGGGCACAGCGCTGCGCTGCTGCTGCAGCAACGGGGCGGCGGCGTAGGCGGGATAGACAGCCTGGTGCTGGGCTTGCTGTGCCTGCTGGGCCAGGGGCATGGACTGGCGGTGGGACAGGCGCGGCGAATGCGATGAGAGCGACGACGTCTCTGCTAGGGGAGAGGGAAATGCGGCGGGCGAGGCTGAAGGTGACGAGGCATAGGCATTGTGGCTGACGGAGAGCGAGTCTGGGGCGGCGGGCTCCTCGTCGATGGACGCGTAAGAGGAGGCGGGGTCGTACGAGGCGAGGGGCGAGTGGTGGTGGGGGTGCTGGAGGTACTGGTGCTGGAGGTGGTGCTGGGGCTGCCTGTCGGTCACGGTGGCCGAGGACGAGGGGCGCGAGGGCGGCAGTGGTGAGGGTGGTGGTGATGGGGATGGTGATGACGACGCGGGCGGCGGGAGCTGCGGCGGAGCGTCTGGGGCATCGTCGGGCTGGGGGAGCAGCTGGGGGTTGGGGCTGGGAGGCTCGGGAGCGTCGTCGTCCTTGTCTGGATTGGCAATGCGCAGTCCGCCGAGCGTCTGCGACAGGCTCAGGTCGCCATTCATCGTGGCGGCCGGTGGGCTGCACTGGCGGTAAACGAGCGAAGGGGTGCAGGTAGCGAAGGGACCACCCGCGGCGCGTCAAAGGAGCCTCGATTAGCGTGCGGGATACGAGGGGGCAGCGGAGGCATGGCAGGGGCCCCAGAGGCCGGAAGATGGGTTGGGATGGGGGACTGGGACGAGATGCGGCGAGGTGAGGTTCGTATGGCGCTGCTGCGGCTGCGGCTGCGGCTGCTGCTGGCCGTCGTGCTCCAGACGCTCGGTGATGCCATGTCTCGGCAAATCGCTGACGGCCTGACAAGACGACCACACCTCGACCACACCATGCTCCCCTCTCCGCCGTCCACACCCCCCACGCCCGCCACTTCTCTGCTGCCCACGCTCACGGCTGCCACAGCCATCACTCTTCGCCCAGCAGTGCACCGCCAGGCAACGGCAATGGACATGGTGACGGATAAGGCAGTGACAGCGACAGCGACAGTGGCAGTGGCAATGGCAATGGCAATAGCAATGGAAATGGAAATGGAAATGGCAATGGAAATGGAAATGGAAATGGAAATGGCAATGGCAATGGCACTGCACATGCCCGTGGCCCACGGCCAGCACCCAGCAGGCCTCGAACCAGTTCCATCCGCTTCACCACCATGCTGAGACCCTTCGCTTTTGGACCCTAGAACATCCTTTTGCCAGACCCCTCAGGCAATTGCTGTTTGCTTGCCCGCAGCTGGCTTACTATGCTACGTTTGCGACCATCAGAGCTTGCCCTGACACCAGACGACGTCGACGAGACATTCTGCCGCATCTCCCTCAAGCAGACATCCACAGCACGGCAACACTGGGCAATGCGCCCTCATGGGCAGCCCGGCCGGCCCGTCCTGCGACGTGGCCCGCAGAGAGCTGTCCGCGATGCCATCACTGCCCCCGCTAACATTCCCACCTTGCAGCCCCAGCAAGCCGTTTTCGATTCTGTCAATGAGGAAGAGGGCGTGCACAACCAGCCATCGACTGAACCGCCAGGCCATGACAACAGCCATGCAGCCTTGCCCCACCACACACTGGAGAGAAGTGATGAAGCGGTTCCACCAGGCCGTCACGCACTAGACACACACATCACTTCCGATGGACAAGGTGAGAGCGCTTCCCATCCACCCCCAGATCCACTGTCTGAACCCGCAACGTCCGGAACTACTGGGAATATCGATAGCAGTAATGGACAATCGGTACAATCGCCCCCAGCCGACGGTGCTGGGAACACACCAGGGCTGCGAGGTGGTGGAAGCCTGGTAGGCATTGTTCATTGTCGCAATGGTCGTCGAAACATCACCCGTGAGCATTCGCCATTACATCAGGTACAGAAACTCGCCTCACCTGCCCAGCAAGTGTCTCTAGGAGACCCTAGCAAATCACCGATTAACCCTCGGTATAACAATTCTACCCTCGGCTCAAATGGCCACTTGATTCAAACTCCGAGATGGGCGGACTGTCATTCCCAGAAGCGCCTGCCAAATAGTGAGCCGCGTCGCAGTAGTGGTCCTCAACCAGCTATTGCACGAAGCCTGTCATCGGGAGCCACGCCATTGTCCAGTGTCACATGTCCAAGCATTTCATCTGACGACGTGTTCGGGACACCTGCAATGCCAGAGCACTCGACCAGACGCCACAGGGACTCTTACAGCTTGACCAGCAATGACCATTCAATCCTCGATCCGAGGAATTTCTCAGGCGCTGTAGGAAGTGTGAGGCCATCAGATCATACAAGCATGAGACCCAGAGAGCGCGGCAGTGACGCTACCAGTGCCAGTACAGGCTATTCTTGGTATGGGTCACTGTCTTCGGATGTGCGGTTCCCAAGCAGTGAGCATTCACAAAGTGGGGCCTCTCCTTCTTCCCAGCTGGGTGGTATCAGCACCAGGTCACATGGACCTTCACCACTCCCGTCCATGCCATATAAGCGAGTACAGAATGATGCCACCACGCCATCACCAACATTAGGTGACTCAAGGCAGATTTCAGGAGGCTACGTCGAAGCTGCCACTGCTGCCGTCGATGAATTGCAATCACCTTTGGATCCGTATGCAGAGCACTATCAGCGTCGTATACACACTCAGCATGCCTTGCTCAACTATCCCACGTATGCAAACCCCGCCCATCCATCGCTCTCTACCAGGGGTAATTCGCCCACCTTTCTCCGGCCAAGTCAATCACTCCGGATGGAACAAGGCTCGAGTGAAAACGCACCAGTTTCAGTGCCAGTCAATCATGGCGATGCAGCCCGTTATGGCCGAGTGCCGGCGCACCGAGCGGCATACCAACGCTTGCAGAGTCCACCCAACACCACGTACTCTGGTGCTATAGGAGACAGCGAGATGCCATCATCCCGTTACAGTGCGGTGCCGCCCGCGGCCCCGCATGACGCATCCAATCGATCTCGCGATTACACGGCGCATGGTTCGGCAACGACGGGTATGCCGCGCGGTGGAGATGTTTCTCGTTCAGCAAGCGCAGTACACATGCACACGCTCCAACACGAGTTTCAGATGCAGAGTCACGACGTAGTCGAGGCCGAAGCACCGAGGTGGTCACCACGACAGCCCTCGAGCCAGTATAGGGCCGAGTTTGCAAGCCAGGTGCCTGTAGGCATGTATCGATCGGCGTCTAGCTCTCTCGGCCTGCAACCCAGGCGTGATGGTCCTCTGAGTGCTCTTGCTTCGTCTGAGCAAGGCAGCGGGACTACGAGCCGATACACGCAGTCGTCACTCATTCGAGCCACGGCGGCAGCAACGGGGCGGACGTATCGGCGGATTCGGCCAGAACAGCGTGATCAAGAGAATGACGGGGATGGCATGGTGATGCGACGTGAGGAAGCCAATGTGGCTGCGCGCTATGGCGAGGAGGAGCAGCACCGGACCATGATGAATGAGACGCCGCCGAGGATTGGGCGTGTTGAGCGCCGGATGATGGAGTAAGTAGGTGGACAGGGTGATTTTGGAGTTGAATAGAATGGGGACATGGGACGATTGGATGATTAATCGTCGTGGTGGTGGCATTGAGTTAGTTCATGATAGGGTTAAGAGACGAGCATGGTTTGTTGTCTTGTTTACTGCTAGTCAACAGATGTTGAGCGTACTTGGATTACCTGAATAGTAATTGGCATAGTTTACTAGGGAGAAAGCAAGCACGAGATTTCTCCAAGCTTGATGTGCTGCGGTCTACAGAGAGGAACGAGAGTAGTGTTTGAAGCCGGGCATGGTGTAGTTTGACGTTGACGAACATGTTCTTGTTCCTGCCAAGTGTACGTACCCACTTTTTTCTTATTCCAGCCACGCCCTTGTCTTAGCGAGAATTGCGACCGAGAAGGTAGTTTGGTACACTAAATTTTCGATAGAGCAGAAGACGATCTGACGAGTAGTCTAGTGGTGGGCTACACTGATTTGTGATACTCCCACATGACTTGGGTGGAACGTGCCGAGAGAGGGGTTTTGTTCGGCGTCGTCGTGAAAGCAGTAACTTTGGACATGTCACTGTACATGAAGATTGAAACAAGGCGCGGGAAGCTATCAGGCAGCCAACTGCCTGTTTCGGGGACCATGTACGTACACGGTGGCGTGCATTAGGAAGGAAGGGCATGACGATGAATGGAGCGTGTTGGCAGTCGGCTATGACTCGAACTGGGGGCGAACACGTCGATTCTGCGTGTGTGCCGGTAGTTGGATGGCCGCAAACAAAAAAACCAGTTTAACTGCATTTGCCGTCCGAGTACCGTGACATGGAGCATGTACTCCTGCTTTGTGCATGAAAGGTTTGCCGGCCGGTAAGCAGGCCAACAAGCTGCTAGATGGAATCGGGCCCTTTTTCGGGGGGAGGGCGCGGTCCAGAAGGTAGAAGGTAATGCATGGAAGGCGAATGGCAAGAAGCCAAGAAGCCATGGCTAGTATGTTTTTGGGATGCGTTGGGACGTTTACACCTAGCCGTGGCCTATCGGTTGGGTGTGGTCTGGACTGGATGAAACATGGTGGGTGTGGTGGGGGGGCAGCTGCGCCATGGTGCAAATGGCGAATGCGGGGTCTGATTTGGAGTCGAGCGTAAGTATAGGCGTACCGTGAATAGTATCAGCGACGGGGGCATGTGTAAGCAAAAGACGACGAAACTGGGAAGCGCAGGTTCAGACGGAGGCGACAAGATCCGAAGACCAAGATAGAGACGCCATTTTTGGGGGTGGGTGACGCGAGCGCTTCGTGGGGTGGGCGGCTCGCACGAACCCGCATCCCGTTATAGCAGCCGGTGGGCGACTAGCACGCAAAGAGCCTCATCTGGCGCCCGGCTTGGAAGCAACAATGTTCATGCGTCGAGTAACAGGCGGCCAGGACAGGTGGATGCACATGGTGCTTGGTAACATGGTTTGGCAAAGGACAGCAGCATCTCCGGTAGGACCAGTGGCCGAGAGTAGATGGATGCAATTTATTAGACGAGTTGCATGAGCATTGATTGGACATGGGCATTGTGTAGAGTACATTTATCTCGGTGGCTTTGCCGGGCGGTGATTGGCCGGGCGGGGTGGCTGAGGCGGTGCAGCGGCTGTTGAGGCTCTCGCTACCGTTGGCCGAAGAAAAAGGGTCTGTCTGGGCCTGGGACTGTACATGGAGATGGGACTGGCGAGCATGTAGCAGTACAATGAGCATCAGGCCCCGTTACCCACAGCAGCACCAGCAGGGCTGGACTGGGTGCACGCTGGCATGTGGCGGCAGCATGGCGATTGGTGAGCAATGCAAAACAGACGTGTTGAAACAAATAGATGGGTGTTTGCAATGCGCATGAGCCAATCCCGAGGCCATGTCCCGAGCCAAGGCCAGTCGCGCATGACAGCGATCCAAGGGATCCGTGGGCCGTCGGTGGTGGAGCTGGCGGAGCGTAGAGCACCATCTGGCCGTCGCGACAGAGGTCGGATGGACACGCTGTCATGCGACGGGGTGACAGATGGCAGAAACTGCTGCTGATCGCCCGCGGGCCTTGGCGCAACATGCAACATTGGGCAGGCCAGAGAGGGCGTCTTGTGGGCGTGCTTCTTTTTTGTTTAATCAGTCACGGCCATTTCGTCATTTGCCAGTTGGGCGCATTGCACTGGCCCGGGACTGCAGACATGGTTTTGCTGGGTGAAGCCAGGCATAGCATGAGCAGATGGAATAGTAGACCAGGGTAGCATAGTAGTGCCGACAGGCGTAGCGAAAGCTTCTCTGCCTTTTTTTTTTTTGGCTGGTTCGGCTCCGCCGCCCAATTCACGTCGTAGTGGGAGTAAGTACTGTACTCTGGAGTCGAGGCCCAGCAGCAGCAGCAGCAGCACACGCACACGCACACACGCACCGACGATGCTTTTGGCACGCAGAGGCCGCGGCCCCCGTGGGCAGAGTATGGCGGGCGCACGAGGCTGGGAAACGGGCAGGTCGGGCTGGTGTGCGTCAGTGTACTCTATGCTGCTACTGCTACTGCGTGGTCGCCTGCTATTCATCCACCAAGGCCATCCGGCTCCACTCTAACACGCCTCACCGCCTCAAGCACCGTCTGCCAGGCTGGGAACGTGACCCAAGTGCGCTGCCAGCAGGCCCGTCTAGTCCCCGCCGTGTCTGCAGATACATAATTGTCGACGACGCCGGCCGGCTGCACAACTGCAACGTCTTGAACGCCCTGGCCTGCAGTGCAGCCGTCAGTCTACATACTATTACATTCTCCCCTCCCTGTCCTCAAACACCGCCGCCCGCCCTTCGAAACGCGACTCGCAACACGCCTTGATTGGCCGTCGCTCCCTGTCGCCTACCGCGCCCTACCCTGCCGGCAAACCATTGGCTTGCACTTGAAACACTGTGCATTCCTGCCCTCGTGCCCTCAGCACCACTCGCAATCTTGCCTCCCCCCCAAACCGGCCATACAGCCGCTGGCCCTCGCCTGCCGCCGCGCGCTACCCACTCGATTGGCTGCCACCGCCAGCCGCCGAACCACGACGCCCATAGGCCCCGTACGATTGCCTCTCGGTTTAGCATCCCACCTGCACCGCCAGCCCAGGGGCCCGCTGCTATTAAGTATCACGCTCGCCAGCCCGACCACACGCTCCCTCACACACACTGTCAGTCTCCAGCTTCCCTTCGTCACTCCCCTTTTTCTTTTCTTTTCCCACCTCCGACCCTGCCATCCCAGCGGTGCAGGTGCCTCGTCCACTCCGGCAGTGACCCTCGCCTTCCTCCTTCCCCCTACTACTTTACGCCACCACCACCACAACTCCCTTATTGGCAGCGCCATCCACACCTTCTCTCCACAACACCAAAAAAATTTCTCTCCCCCCGTCTCGACTGCCCTTCGTCTTCCGACTGGACTCGGACTTTTCCGTCGCTCTAATCTTTCTGCTGCCTTGCCAATTCAACCTTGTTGTCGTGCTGCCCACCAAGCCACAGCACAATCAGCCTTGGACACCCGCTTACCCACTCTTCAGACCGGAACCACATTCACTTCTTAAGACATCACCACCACCACCACCACCACACACACACACACACACACAACTTCACCATGCCTTACTCACCAAATCTTGCTGCCGAGAATCAGGCGGCCTTGGACCACTTCATCCAACTCCCAGTGTCAAGTGACATGATCTCATATCTTGCTCAAAAGGCCACTCAAGTCATCCGCTGCGAGCCATGCGTCAACAAGAACCTCCCACCCACACCACCAGCCTCGCCCTCGCAGCACACTGCCTCTCACCCCCGGGAACCGGCCCTTCCATCCGTCGAAGAGTTCATCACTTCCATTGTCGAGAGATCACATGTCCAGACTGCCACCCTCATGTCTTCGCTCATCTACCTCAGCCGGTTACGGTCACGCCTCCCCCCTGTTGCAAAGGGCATGCGCTGCACTGTCCACCGCATCTTCCTCGCCTCGCTCATCCTTGCGGCTAAGAACCTCAACGACTCATCGCCCAAGAACAAGCACTGGGCAAAGTACTCGTCTGTTCGTGGCTACGACAACTTTGGCTTCTCCATCACAGAGGTCAACCTCATGGAGAAGCAGTTGCTCTTCCTCCTCGACTGGGACCTCCGCATCAACACCGACGACCTCTACTACCACCTCGAGCCTTTCCTAGCCCCCATCCGCGTCTGGCAATCACGCCAGGCTGAGAAGGCCAGGCTTGCCGAGAAGGAGAAGGAGCTTGCCCGCAAGCAGTACCAGCTCACCACTGAGAACCTCTCGCGTTCAGTCCACACCTACCCGTCAAACTCATCCATGTCTTCACACGCTTCCCGTGCTCAGAGGCATCGCATGCAATACGTCCCATCATCCCGCGCACCCTCGCGCACACCCTCGCTATCACCACCCACACGAAGCTCCTCGGCCTCAGTCTCATCGGAATCGCCTTCCAGCTTCCACGAGGAGCCTTCAGAGGCCGTTCTCCACCGCTACGACGCGGACCAGGGTGCCAATGTTGTATATATCAATGGCCCTATCCCGTACGCAGCCCCCAAGCAGCAGCATGCTCTCCCACTGTACGAGCACCAGCCTTCCAAAAAGGTCAAGACGTCAGCCGGCGGCATCTTCAGCCGGATGTTCGGCCAGACGGGCGCTTATGCCGGCCGTCAGGTCACGTATTAATTTGATTCGCTATCTTGCACACACACACACACTGTCGCTTACCACAACTTTGCCTTGTTTCCTTCTTTGTGTTTTACTTTTTTTTCCTTTTAGCTTTGCGCTTGGTTTCACCAAAGGGAGTCTCAACGGGTGTTATACGGCTGACATGATCTGACGAAAAATGCTCACTGGATGGGACATTTCTTCGCCCATCTCGTCACCAGTTGCATTGGAAGGCGTTCATTTCTCAGCATTTGCATAACACAGCATGGAATCGGCGTTGGAAATTATCATCCTCATCACATCATCAATAGTTTGTCGGAGCACCGACGTACGGCTACTAGTTCAAGGTTCGCTCCGCTGTCTGTCCTCGTTTGGCAGGTGGCGCGAGTAATGAAAAAATCATTAAACATATTTTGAATCACTCCACTTCTGGCTTTTGCATCTTCTTTTGGCTTGGCGGTGCACCAAACGGCCTGCGTCTCCGAAAAATAAAACAGCATGACGCCCTTTGCTCTGCCTTTCAATCTCGGTAGATTGCATCTGACGGGGCGCGCTAACGCTGCAACGGCTATCTATCCAACGGCACGACTAGGGGCGTGTTATCCACCTAGCGGGAACGACTGTTGCATTTGGCCATGCGCGACTCATCTACATTACGCGACCTGTGTGCCAAAGTTTCTAAAGAGGATGTGGGATCAATAAGACGCTGAGACCCCTCGTAGATCCATTATTAAACACGACTCAGAGGAGATGCCACATTTGGGCCGCGGCCAACAAAAAAAAGGGACATGCCGCGTCTGTCCTGATTTTTTTCCGCCTTAACTCATCACAAACACGAAGAAAGTCATGATATGGGAGAATATACTCTTGCCTACAGCATCAGGATTGTTACAATGATTGACCGATGATTGACCGGGCCGCAGGTGTGTCTCAACAGCATGTGGGGGAGAATAGCTTATTTTCACTGTGTAGTAGTAAGATGACCCGAATATCTGTCCGCAGGCACATGTTACTACTATGTGATCCTCTCGTATCTGCCTCGTGATGCGACTCGGGCATCTTTCTTTTCATCACCATCATCCCCCACTTACCCTTTTTTTTGTCCGTCTCCGCTTGCGCAGCCACATTGGGCTGACAGGCTATACCCCATTCCATGCACCATGTCTACCTGCCTACCGTTTGATTGAATGATCTACGTCTGCCGCTTTTTCTCTCTCTTGGCCTTGTGTCCCAGACCCGTTACGGCAAAACCAATCAAGTGCGGGATGTAGGTGATATTTGAGACCGGAACTAAGTAGGCTGACACGCAGCCCGCGATGCCAATGTCGAAGATTCCCGCGGTAAGCACGGCACACATGGGACTAAGACGACTGCATGATGTGTGTGTAAGAGAGAGAGAGAGAAAGCCTCGGAACGTCAACGCCACGGCATACACCAAGGCAGCACGGCATATGCATTGCTACTCTACATGATTTGTGAAGAGGAGCCAAAGAAAAAATAAGTGTGCATGCTCATCTAACTAAATCAACCACACTTCCCCCCCCCCGCTAGCAACAGCCAAAGAAAATCAATCTTTTTTGCTTTCCTCCCACACTTAACCCCCCCTTTGCCCCTGCATCTACCTGGCGTTGCATCTGCCTCACCAAAACCCCAGCCCGTACATGTCGTAACTGGGTAAGTAAAGTACATGCAAGAACATGGTGTCGCACAAGTCGAAACTTATTTTGGCCATTAATTTACTCTTTTTGCCCTTTTTTGGTGTTCAATTGGGTGTGCGAGCGCAACCCGGGTGCAGATCAAACGGTGACCTGGATTCAGATATCTGACACTCTGCATGTTGCTTGTACATTAGTAGTATATTACCCTTGGAGCCTGGGCGCCCCCGCTCGCGCGCGCGCCCCATGTTTCATCTTTCCTGCTTTTTCTCCCTACTACTCGCTTGGGTCTAGTGCGGAGGTTATACCGGTGCGGGCTTAGCCGTGTGATTGGTGGGATTGCTGGAGTGGGGCGGAGGCGGTTGCGACTAGACTGAGTTGAGAGGACAGGGACAGGATCGCCGGTGTTTGTTTCATCGTGTGCGAACATGGACCTACTTACGTCTATGTCTACGTACGTGTGTTCGGTGGCTCTGGGTTTTGGCTTGGGCGTCGTGTGCGTGGCCTGTGGAAATACATTGGTGCGGATAAGAGGAAAGTGATATCATCGAGGGGGGCTTCCACGGCTTCTGCTGCTCTCTAGATCTCAGGAAGTGCAGTCTGCTGGGTACGGTGGGGCGATTAGTTGTCGTCCCTATTGATATATGACTGCAAAATGTTATCAACACGACAAGTTCAGCCTTGCACTGATTGGGCTGCCAACACTACCTCTTGCAACTGGTAGTAGTACATTGCCGATCCCCTTCAACTCTCTCTTGTCTTGCACTCGTAAATAGATCGAGTGCCTTTTCCTTACCCAGATGAGGGTATGTTGCATCCACTAATACGAGAATTGGAGCTTTCAGATGCCCACACTACTAGTCTTTTGAAAACAAGTGTTATCGCGAGTCGGCATTTGTTTTGCATTCCAAACTATATACACTACGCATACCATCACTAGTCACTCTGCAACCAATCTCCCAATCACCTTGTGAGTACTCGGCAGTCAAAGTCGTCTCAATTGCCACACATGGTATCATCAATACTGAATTCAATGTCCTGGTTCAGCCCGGCCCTGGCATGACGTTTGAGCGAAGCCCAAATATCTTCGCACTCGAATTCCGCATACGGTACAGCATATAGCCTTACAATACAAACCATAAGACGCTCATCCATCCAAGTTCTCGTTGATCGCATCGATATAGCTCACATCCAATAATTCACTCGTAGCTCTCAACATGCTTGAAGCATGTACTTAGTCGACCCCAGGGATTGCTGGCTCGCAAAATTGGGACAGGCATTCCCTGCGCTCAACATTGTACCTTTGTCAAATTGTCTTTGTGTCGCTCACGACGTTCGGATATATAGTCTGGAGCCTTTTGGCCACTTCCTCGCAAGAAAAGCCTATCAAGAACGGCTTGTACTGGGGATCGCACATGTGACGGTCGAGAGCGCGAGCATGGACGGTTCGTCTTCCTGGGTAGATTACCCTAGCTTGACAGTTGCGAACAACTGGCGGATTGGTGATGATAAGTACCTCGTAACGAACTGGAGAATCGTCTCTATAAAGGGGGTTTCCGTCTACTGAAGGCTCATCGTGGGTCCTCAATTTCATCGCCATTCGGGTGATAGCAAACTTGAATCTGCTTAAGAGACGCAATGTCCTTAGCGAGTGTGGTGCGTGTGATCCCACAGAGGACTAATTCCACCTCGTCTGTTGCATCGCACTCATGCGCCACAACGTCAGTGGAGCTGTACTGGGAGGTGCAGCTATGGAAAGTGAGATTATGGCGGAGATGCCATCCATCAACTGAGGTCAAGTGAACCAGACCCTGGACTTGTCTTTTTTCTTGATTGACTAGCCAAAGTCAATTTCATCCACAAGAGTGTAGATGCTGTCTAATTGCGTCAAGACCTTGACCGAGGCACTAGGGAAATCTGTTCATCCGAGATGCCAAGGTTCCTGCTATCGACCTCCAGGCGTGACAGGGACCTTTTCAGTATGGCTACGACCGAGCAAGGGAAAGGACCAGATCCACACGTTATGCTGGCATTTGTTGGTCACGATGGCTCTAGCCTGCACTAGGGCGAAGAGGAGCATCATAATATAGAAAAGCCCAATCATTTTGACCAAAGAGGAGTGGAAGCCACCTATGTGGCGAGTGCTCTGGTGCGGTTTGGTTAGGACAGCAGAGGCAAAATCAGATGGTGAATGGATGGATGGATAAAGAAACGGAAAGGCATTCATAGGGTGCCAAACAAACGTCACTACAGAAAGTCACAAGAAGCAGTCTTGGTAAGAGCCCTCTTTCCTGGTTCTCGGATGGTGTTTGGGTCGTCAGATGCAGGCATGGCAGGTCGTGTCGTGTATCGATAGCCAAGGGAAACAAGAGCAAATGTGGTGACATGGAGTATCTCGCAACCAGCCACCACACCCTATGAGACTCGTTCATATTTCCACCAGCTGTGCATGCGTCTGTACAACGCCTTTCTAGTTCATCGTTTGGAAAATGCTAAAGTATGCTGCCAACCGCTAGACATATTCAGCGATGATTTCAGTTCCTTGATAGTTACGATGATGGCATCGACGTATACTATGGATCAGGATTTACCTTTATCGGGATTTGCCGCCAGGTTTTCCAGGTTTGTTTTCTTTCTTGAGCTGTTGGATTTTGGCTGATACGATAATCTCGGTGTGATCGAAACGGAGCGGCCCGCCTTGGTGATTGCAGCAACAACTACATCCTCGAATGTATACATCAATTTTTCTTGTTGTCGCAAAACAGGTGTCGCATGCGTCGCAGGTACTGACTCGAACGTGAAGATGGCTTCGAGAAGAGAACAAGTCTGCGCTTGTCGGGGCGGAATTGGGTACGTACTACCAAGACCTGCCTGGGACTGTGAGGGCTAGCGGCTCTACGACCTGAGGCGGGCATGAAACACTGCAACCCTCAGCATCAACGACAGGAGAATAATAAGAAGACCATGGCCCCTGGCATGCATTTCGCAATTGTTTTTCCTACCGCTGTCTCATTCCTTCTTTTCCTTCCTCGCTAAGTTTTTTTTTGCACCGCAGGTCCGGTACAGAGGTCCGATTTGCGCCTAAGCCCCAAAGACGCGCCAGTCACAGTACGCGCGCCCCGCCATCCTCAATGCGCCAGCAAGCTTCCTGTATCGACATGCCCGCCATGCCGTCCGGAATAAAAGAAATCCCCGTCCAGCTCCCTAAAAGCTTCGACCGCCCTGACGAGCCATGGCATCACTACCTTACCATTGACTTGATATGGTACGTCTTCGGGTACACGATATTCCATCCGTTTGTCTCATGGGTCGTCGTCTTGTGCCTCCGGGCGCAATACACACCGTATGGGAACCTCGAGATGCGCCTCGCTACTGCCTGGGCCATGCTCATGACCATCATCGGCCTTTTCAATCTGCTTAGCGACCGTATCGCTTTTGGACTGCCGCGCGAGGTGGATTTGGCTGAAGAGGTCATCGTAGTCACGGGCGGTGTCGAAGGATTGGGCGCACTCTTGGCCGAGACATATGGCATGCGCAATGCAAACATTGCTGTTCTCGACACCAAGAAGGTCGACGACGAAGTGTCCGAGAACACCGGCGTGCTGTACTATGAGTGTGATGTCAGCGATGCACAACAAGTCGAAGCCGCCGCAGCCCAGATTGTCGAAGATGTGAGCAACTCTCTACTTGGACGCATCGCATTGGATACTGACAACCGCAGCTCGGGGCCCCAACCATTCTCATCAACAATGCAGGTGTCATGCAGGCCAAGTCAGTCCTCGATTCGACCGCCGAGGAAGTCGAGAGGTACGCGTACAGCGTCGTCAACATAGACATCTGCTGATACACCAAACAGGACCTTCCGCGTCAACACGCTTGCCCACTTTAACACTCTCCGCACATTCGTACCACATATGCTAAAAGAAGGCCGAGGCACTATTGTTACTGTTGCGTCTGTCCTTGGACACCTTGGCGCGGCCAACCTATCCGCCTATACTGCCTCCAAAGCGGCACTCCTGGCGCTCCATCAGTCATTGCGCGCTGAACTTGCGCAGAACCCCGACGCCAAGCATATAAAAACCATCCTTGTAACGCCTGGCCAGATGGGCACACGCATGTTTGCAGGCCTCAAGACCCCAAGCAACTTCCTTGCGCCCATTGTCACGCCTGCTGAGATTGGTAAGGACATCATACGTATGATTGAAAAGGGCGATAGTGGAGAGATTGCAATTCCCCTCTACTCAAGATATATCCAAGTCCTTGGTGTGCTTCCTTTTGGCGTTCAGTACCTCATCAGGAAATGGAGCGGCATGGACAAAGCAGTAGGCCACATGAGAGAAGCGAGGCAAGAGCCAAAAGAGAAAAACTAGCTAATGTTTTATCCAAATCCAAATATACGATTCAGATGCCTTGGCATCACAACACATGATTCCCAGTCTCTCAAGGAGCTTCAATTTGGTCAGCGCATCCGATTTTTCCAATTGGCTGGCTACTGCGGGCAGACCCTGCCAATACTTCGCCTTGTTTCGTTATGCAATGAGCCCTAAGCTCATTAGCGAGTTTAGCACTTGGCAGAGCCGTTGTTCCATAAGATCCTTATGAGGGTCGCGTGGTTGATTGAGCTGTTCCTCTAATCTGCAGATATACAGTATGGACAACTACATAGTACTGAGACGGCAGCCTCTATTTGACGCAACCGAAGAAGTTACTCTTGACAATTCAAGCATAATCTTTCGCCAACCCAGCCTGTCACCCGTTTCTTGTTGAGTTAGGTCATGCTCATAGCTGTAAGTTAGTAGGATTGTACTAGGGAGTTACTGTGTACAGGGGTAACCCACGATGTTTTCCCAAAAGAAAATGTCATTTCACAATGAGCGAGGTTTATATAGTGGGTTGGGCATGTTATCTTGTCTCAACATACCTTTTACCGCCGTACCGTATCCAGTAAATCTTTCGGTGGCGACAGCGGTATCTGATCGCTCTTCGCTCATTCGCCCCTCAGCGCATGTAGCGGTAACTTCAAGGCATCCACGAACAACATCCATGATTGCGGCGACATCAGGACAAAGAGTAATATGATGGACTACTGTACAATGGTTTAGCACAGCAAGAAAAGATGCATACCTCAGATCATTACTTCATGTTGTGTTGTCAGTGGTCAATGTCTATCAAGGCTGAAGCGTAAACAGCGAAGTGTATGAGTTACGCATAATTTTGTTTACTTAGCAATTATTGTACTTCAACCCTACATCTTGACTTTGACGTGTGTGCTTGTGTTCTGAATCCATTTGTGAAGCGCAGTACAGCCATACCATGGTTGCTACGTATTAGTGCGGGACGAGTCATCCTTGGTACGATTGAGAGTCGTAAGAACTCATCACATACGAGTACACACCATGACTTGTTGCTACTCGCGTCGCGCCTTCTTCTCCTACTGGTGTCCAAAAACCTTTACTCGCATCGTAAGAACGACATGCGCTACTTTGACAGGACTTGAAGCTTATAATAAGATCCACACAGCGGCCTAAGACTATTTAATTTTAATAAAATCTTAATAGAGTATCTAGATAAGCTTAATAAGTCCGTAATACAAGCACTTATTAAATTAAGTAGAGGTATTAGTATATCTTTTATTATCTATACTCCCGTAACTAAAAATATATTTCCCTCTTAAAAACGCCCTACGTACTACTATAGATAAGTGTAAGTAGCTTATATATTTTATCTATAATATCCTCTTTTAAGTCTATAAGATATAGCTAATATCTAGAGACTTCTTTATATCTTACGACTTAAGACTAGGACTAAGTAAGATAGTAAAGCGTATTTCTACTGCCTATCTTAACTCTATATTAATACATTATACTACTTACTTAGTAAATACTACCCTATAAAGAACTCTAATAAGATTTAACTTAATATTATATGTAAAGATATTCTAAATCTACTAACTTTAGGCCGCGATCCTACTCTTTCTTGTTATCTTCTATCTAAGCCTACTTTACCTAATAATCTAAATACTAATTAAGAGAATGTATATCTAATGATTTACTTCTTCTACGGCTTAATAGTCTTACCGTCACGACTATCAGGGATCTTTGCTATTTCTTCTTCTCAGCTTCCCCGCCTTGAACCTGCAACTTTACTGGATGGCGAGATCTTGACATGGGCGGGTAAATATCGAGCATTGGTTGATTGTCCAGGGCAAGGAGTGGATGGACATGTGTATTCAGTAATTTCTAAGGACCAAGAAAATGCGTTGAGAATGTATGAAGGGGATACCCATGGAATCGTACACGCGAGTGTAATGTTAAAGGAGAGAGATGGAAGTGAGGAAATTCCGGTTTTGTGGGTTCGAAGATGAGTTGGCTCGGTAAAGGATCGACCAACCACACAGTTTCACTCATAACAACGTTACTTAAGCTATCTAGTTCAGCTTTACCCCTCGGCCCCAAGCTGTTTTCATGCTCAGGAGTCTACAGATTTCCTGATTGACCTCATGATACATGCTCCTATAATCCAAGCCCTACCCTAGTTTGATATGGGTGAGAGTTCTTTACCAGCGTAATGAAGGGGTTTTCGAATTTTGAGCATTCGATCTGTAATCTATCTTGCTGAGATTAACAGGACACAAAAGCCATGTTTTTGTCTTTACATGTACCTAGGCTGAAGTGTAGATACAATAAATCGGCGCATGAATTAACGCGTAGATTGATGCGCGGATCGACGTGGAGTATTAAGGATAGAGATGACTAACTAAAATACTAAAAAAGTATCACGATAGTTCTACTATCTACCTAACAGCCTTACCCATATTTTGTGCACGGACTATCAAGCCGATCAAGCTAATCAAGCCAGAGACTCTAGCTTGACTTGACCTGGTGGGATTTTCAAAAGCTCCGGCTTAACTTGACTCCACCTAATATATGGGCCGGCTTGACTTGACAGTTTGATATCAGCTTGCTTGTTGCCAAGTATGATGATGACTAACACGAACATAGTTAGAGAAGGCAACAGCGAGATCAGTGGTAGCAGAGGTGGAGGAGATGGTGACGTTAGTAGTTACGACGATTTTGCGCTCCAGAACGAAAGTGAAGGCGAAGAGTTCAAGCGAAACTTTCGAGAAGACACAGGACGAGAGCTCAAATCAGCCAGCTCCTTCTACAAACATCAGTCAAGGTAAGCGCCCGGGTGCGATCTTGATAGTGGCTCTTGCACACCATTTCTGACATTGCGTAGAAAATACGGTCGTTATCGAAGACAGTTAACCCAGCGTAGATATAGACAAGGGCGACTCGCACGAAAATAATGCAGATATGCAGATAGGCGATCGGCTTGAAGTTTCGAGCATCACAGCCCCGGATTTTCGCGGTGGGGAGTGTCCTATAGATACGGAGAATGTTGTCGACTCTAATACAGTTAAAAAAGCGAAGACTCAAATAAGAAGGTCCCCGTATCGCAAATTTCTATCAACTCCGCCAATGAGCTCGTCGAAGATAAATGTCGAACAATCAACGTAAGACAGCCCTCTTACGATTGAAAACACGAGCAGTAGCAGCAGCGATACCGATGGTGATCATAATGATTGCGATAATCAGACTGCATAGCTGAACCGCAAGCGGAAACGCTTCCCGTCAGCCAAGCGGCACATTCAATCATCAAACACGAAATCGAGGTAGCGCCTTAAGCACAATGTACGCCTATTGAAACAGCGAAGGCTACCCCTCTTAGGTGGCAGGCAGTTCTCCAACCGTCCTTTGGCCCTAAAACCTCTTTTAGGACTACCGTACCGTGGATACGATGCCAAAATCTAATGTAGCGATAACGGTAGCGATGATAGTAGTGAATATCGCTCGCAAAAGCATAAGCGGAAGCGCATTTAGGATAATGTGAACGATGACGACGAATATGAGGTAAAGAAGATTATCGATGCCCGTGTCCATTGTGGAAAGCTACAGTACCATGTAAGATGGCTAGAATATGAGAAGGATCTGGAGTGGTACGATGCGTCTAACTTCAAGAATAGCCCGCACAGACTCTGGGATTTCCAGGCGGCCAATCCTTTATATCTAGGCCCTCTAAGAAGGTTGGAGATATGGATGTAGTGCTGAGAGAAGGATAGAGATGCAGGTAATCATTCTGATGATAGTAAGCCTAAAGAACTGAACAACTAGGTGGGATACTGTTGGCGGACTGGCGTTTCTGACTCAGTGTCGTTCCATTGCCTTGTTTCTCCTCACTACTAGGTTGGCGCAATGTTGTGTTTTCCTCCCTTATTATCACTAGTTGTAAGTTACTGCTGTTAGCCTCACATTTTGAGTTTACTTGAGGAAAGTGAAGATGAAGCTATAATGCATGCTAGACCTATCCACTAGACTACTGTTGTAGTTACTGCCGATGCCAATGGCTTCGCTATACTAACAATTAGTATTACTTGCTACGGGTGCATTTATTCATTTTTCGTGTAAACGTGGGCCTAAAGAATTGTCTAAGTATCTGTCGTACACGTTAATTTAAATCTTATCGATGGACTCTGCCGGAGGGCGTTCAGTCTGTTACACTGAGTTATCTAAAGATGATCTTCACACAAGCATCCCACAGGCGCAAAATTCATATCATAAGTTATTTTTGTTCCATTGAACCTACTCCTAGCACTTTAAGCTAACTATCCTACGTGGGAGCGATTAGATTATGGCTTTCTGATGCTTTGCAACATGTTTAAAGATTGTACGTCCGTCTTGACCTGGTAGATCAAACTGTAAAAATTAACTCCTTTGTTCATCTGAAGAGAGGAATTCTCTACCTTAATGGTTCTGTAAAACTAGTTGAAAGTTCTTTTGAAGCCAGGTCTTTTGTTATCCTAACAAATATTTCCATATTTAGCAAAGTTGCAGGCTACGCTTGGCTCTGAAGCTGAACAGCAAGCTGGTAACTCTTGCGGGATAGGTTTAGCAGCGGGACTAGCAATTGCTGCTACTGCAAAGAGGCAGATAGTAAGAATCGAGAACTGAGGGAATTGCATTTTAGAAATGATTGAGAGAAGGTCTTGCGTATAAGATGATGATGTTCAATAGTCACAACTGGAGCACACGCCTTAAATACATGAAATCTGGTATTATTAGTCTCTTGTAAGACAAATATAGTTAGTTTGACTATTGAAACGTTCTGATAAGGTTACGATGAAATCTCTAAGTTATGATTGGACTTCGGGTCGGTATTCGTTGTATCTGACGTACAAAGTGCATAATACGAAGTATAACTGCTTAGATGATATCTAATCCACCAATGGTAAGTATATAGACGCGTGTACACTATATTAAATAGACTCTAAGTAGAGTTAGGGCGAGTTAGAGTCACCGAAGTCTCGTATTTCATAACGTATGTCCCGGCAAAGGTTACAGGGCACCCCTATATGAGCTATTTGGCACCCCCGTAAGACAGAGGTCGGCATTAGTGGGCTTGGCCGATACACTAGTGGTATTATTGGTATCTTTTGCTAATATAGGCGCATTATACAAATTACGAGATCGCAGAGAGGGCTAGTGTGTTAGCGCAATCGCAGAGAGGGCTAGTGTGTTAGCGCAAAGTTTGCCAAATAGCTCATATGGGGGTGCCCTGTAACCTTTGCCCGTATGTCCCTGAGTGTTGGGCACCCGCCGCACTGGAACAACTGAGGGGTACTTTGACTTTCAATACGTCGCTTTCTTAGGTGCATCGAATACAGCTTATCGGAAAATTTATTTACGAACGTGCAATAACATTTCTTTTAACGCTGAGGACGGACTTGTTAATATTAAGTTGGTAGGTCAAAGTTTTGTAAAAAGGGCCGTTCTTAAGAGGTTATACTAGACTTAACTACGTAAGTGATTGAGTACAATGTTCAGCTAATTGCAGCTTTGCAAAGTCTCAAGTCTAGGGTCTTTAGCTAATCGTGAGCGAAAAATTATATAGCATCGGGGTGACAAAACTTTAGCTTAACACCTTCGTAAACTAATCAGGCTGCTCTAGTTAGATTTAGTAAGCCTTTAGCCTAGAAAAGGTAGTAGTCGTCTTACTGCACTAGGGTGCCCCCTAGTGCAGTAAGACGACTAGAGTATAAGACTAGGGACGGCAGTAAGCATGATCAAGCGTCAGACTCCGATTCGAGAGAAATCAACGTAGGTAACCCACTAAATAGTCGATCCCCGCGCGCAGCATATGCCGTCTTCTTTTCCGCGTTCATTAAATAGAGAGTAGCTTAACTATATCCACTCGCCCACTTATAGACGCTAGATCTAGCTACTTAATATCTACTACTTAATATGCACGATCCTCTGTACATGAATAGTTAGTTAAAGCTTAGCTTGTAGTAACTAGATATTGCATTTAACAATTTTTAACTACTTGTTGTCTTGCGATTTGAGAATATCTATATATTGACCAACAACACTTTGAACCATTTCTTCACTTCCGAGGAACTTGCCGAATGCTGCTTCGGAGTTGCTAACATCAAAAGACATGAGAATATCATCGTTCCTCGCGTCTGGATTGAGTATGCCTCGCTCGATTGCATCTGGAAAACGCTCGCGAATGATGGGAACAAATTCTTTCCAAGGGATGCTCTGGCCGCTAAACGCAGCTAGGATAAAATTATCACCACTCTTCGCGTTTTCTGGCTTCAAAGAAAGAACATGAGCTCTTGCAACGTCAGAGAGGTGGACTTGTGCTGTCATGCGGGGGATGTTCGACAAAATTCCTCGCGCCGTCAACATCACTCCATTGTTGGATCCACATCGATCTGGATCTACTATGTCTTGAGCCGAGCTGTACAGCTCGTTGGCGCCTTGAACATAACCTAGCAGCATGTGCACCACATCAAAATGAGGCTTTTTGATTTCGATGAACTCAAGTGCCGCATAGTATGCCATAGCTTTCGAGTATTGGTATGCTAGATATGCACTACCCGTCTTCTTCGCCGTCTCGGCGTCTGGCAATGGGATGATGTCTAGGGCTGCAATTGGTGAGATGAGTCCGATACATATCCGATTTTAACTTACGACCAGTTGGACCGGGGCGTGCATATTCAGTTATCCCACAAGTAGAAGTGACAACAATTCGTTTCACGCTTGGTTCTTTGGCTGCAGCAGTAAACAGATTCAACGTGCCCTTCTTAGCTGGATCGTAAAAATGCTTTTGCCAGTCACACTGTTGCCCTTAGTTTCGAATAATCATGAAGGAGACCGTATTATGGAGGTTAACTTACATCTCCGTCAAGTTTTAATGGGATAGGTGCGGCAACATGAATGATACCGCTTACGCCCTTGACAGCTTCTTCCAGTGCACTAGGCTCTTGGAAGTCTGGAATAAGCACAAATTCAACATCTTCTAGATGTTTCTGCAGAGATGCTGTATGCTTCAGTTTATCGACTTGTTCTTGTCGACGATGAACGATACGTGCTCGGTAGCCGTGTTCAAGGAGAGCAACAAGTGTACCAAAACCAACATGGCCGGTAGCACCAGTGATCAAAACAAGATCTTTGGACATTTTTACACCTGATGGGATAAATGAATAATAGAGAGGTAGGCTTCGTTATGTATTCCAATGGAACCTATCGGATGTTTATAACTTCGTGATTTACGGTCTTGCTGTTTTTGGGCGTGTAAACCGTGATTCTTACATAGATCTAAGTGTGGAATGCATTGATCGTCGGGGGGATTAGCTTTGCGCTGACGTGATCTGGCAATGACTCAATGCCAATCGTACAAGGTCTTTGGCTTGCACACCTGCAGCTCCACAGTTTCGAAAACAGAGTTCAGCACCTTCCCTGTGAATACTAATATGAGCAATGAATTGATTCAATCAAATTGGACTAGGGATGCTAGGTATACTATATTACTCATGTTCATCAACTATGCAGTCCAAAGACCATCCCACAAAATCCTAACTTCAGTTGTCTTATTGGTGTCGAATCTTCTTCTTTTTGGGTAACGAAAGAGATGAAAAAATCTTAGATTATGAGAAGCCAACTTCACTAACTCATGTTTTGCTTGATCTAATGCTTACAGCCATGCCCCAATGAAACGAATCATTATACCGCAACCAACCCCCTCGGCTCATGAACATTCGACAAAATTCTTGGGCCCGCACTACACGATCTGCCAGGTAATGTACAAAGGGGAGGGGTTTAGTTATAATCCAATCGCCTTAAGTCGTCTTCAAGCTTTGCCCAAACTTTCCTTCTTAGAGCGCCGTAAAGCCAAACATTGCCTCCGTAGTCCTTTCCGGTCACAGTTAGAAGACTCGGCCCACGTACGCTTTGTTTACTAGCAGTTATGAATCCAACCATAGAACCAGGTGGATTTACACGATTTTCCGTCTTTTCTCCTTGACGGATAACAGCTGAACTAAAGTCCACCTCACGCATTATGTGTAGCTTCGTCAAATTGTTCATAATGAGGACGTTGACATTTGTTTCGCCATAAACGAGACAAGGGTTTCCATTCTTGCGAATGTCGTCTCGCTTTGTGATCAACGCGCCAATCATCTGCTCGTCGACGGTCTGCGCGAGAAATTGTTCGCGGTTAGAATAGGCTATCTCCCCAAGCGATGCCTGCGTATATTTGGAAGAAAAGAATATCCAGGCTGCAATTATTAGGTTCTGTAAGTACACTCCGTTCTGTTGCACTAACGAAGGTATTAGATATCGAAGGTTTGCAGCTTGTACCACACACAAAGGTCTAATCGCTGACTCAGATAATGCTGATGAATGAACGACCCATGCTGTTAAGATATCATGATCGCTGACAAAGGTACCTGGAGTCAAATTGCCTTCAGCTTTTAGACGCAGTGCTGAGACCGTACGAGAAGGTAAGCAAAGCATCCCCATGGTTGCCGGATTCGTGAACCACTCCCAGATATGTAGGAAAATCCACATGTAGAACCCGAGTCCAGCTACCCGGCGTTTTTCTATTATGCACATCTCTGGGATATCACCGTGAGCATCCTTATCATTCTTCTTAGCAAAAGAATGGTTATCCACAATGGCCTCCAGCACGTCCGCTCTTGCCCCGAGGACAGTTGGGATTTTAGCTTCAGCTTGATTTAAAATTGAGGACCATGCACGCAGCAGACATTGTCCGGCAGCCGCATCCATAATCACATGTGAGAATGCAATGCCGAGGACGGTAGCATCTTCGAAAATTGTCGCACGAATCCAAATAAGAGGGGAGTCAGAGTCAACCATATTGTTGAAGGTTGGCATTTCAGGTGACAGTGAACGCCAATCTACGGCGCAAATCTGCACAAATGGCTGGTCGGCATATTTGGGTAAATGCTTAGCCACTTGGTGGTCCCCGATCTTGGTGTTCGTCATAAATTCATTAACAAAACAAACTGGCGGTTTGTCCTTGGAGAAGTGACTTGGAACATGGATCTCGTAGTTTTTTACATTCTAGCCTTGTCAGCACTTCTCTCTTGCATCGGGAAAGCAAGCCTTCTCAATTTAAACTAACATTGCGTCTTAATCGTCCACCCAGTTTTCTCCAATCGCCAGTGCTTAACAGTTTTACTAAGGCAGACTCTAGTTTCTCAGGGTCAAGAATGTCGTTGAACCGGAATATCCATTGTACGATGTTACGATTCAAGTTGGTGTAATCGAACATGTGCAGTGGGTAAATGGTTGTCTTTGTGGGTGTTGAAGTTTCCTCCATAGTTTATGAAACGTTGGCGGACTGAATGGGAAAGTAACAACGTTGGATACACCCTCTGTGTACTGCAAAAGACAACAACCTGGATCAGAGATACTGAGAGCACAAGAAACAATGCAAGACGTGGATGACCCTAATGACATTGCCCTACCTTAGCGGCTTTGCTTTGAATAGGTAAACACTAGTGTTAATTAAGGGGCCATCGGTATATAAGCTAGAAGACGATGCGGCATTTTAGAATTACCAACAGGAGAGGCGCATGTTACACATTCTGCCGGTTACAGATAGCTCGGAAACTCTATTTCTACACCGCCACGCCCGCCAGTCAAGCTAGAGGACCTAGTCTTCGTTTAGTTGGTTTTAGAGTCATATCATATTCATCTAAACTATAGCTTCTAAGACTATCTACAATGGCCGCTCCGAGGCTTAGAAACTGTCGGCCTAGCGCTTGTAGTTGGCGGTTTATCCCGATCTGATAATACCGCGGGGAATTCCGGCATGCTAATGCAGGTGCTTTTGGCTGCTTTCACCGTCTTGGTATGTAGCGACGTGTTTGACGTTAGATGGCTGAGGGATTGAGTCTCTTAGAATCCCCACCGCCAGTGCGTGGAAGATAAAGGTAGGCGTAGGCATCTTCCTTGTTCGTGAACCCAGGTATCAAATTTCCGGTGTTTTCATGAAATGAGCCTTGAGTAGGGCCCTTTCACTATCCTAGTTTCGCTTAAATGCACAATCCAGGATGTAGGTTAAAGTCAGGGGTTCGGTGAGATGTGCACAGTAGTATAGCTAGTCTTGACTATCTCGGGAGGAAAGCACATGGCACCGGGATCATATCGCTTCTGTCGTCTCCGCTTTCTCAATCAAAGTGGTAATATTAGTTAAATGGAAAACGGTGTAATAACTGTGTCTTGCTACATGCATACTGCGCAGTGCCTTGGAAGTGGTTAGGGTGGGTTTGAGGAGATCTCATGGCGACGCTCTGGATGGAGATCCTTCGTTTTGGGAAGAATTCTATGAGTGAATTGCGCAAACGTTGATCATTAAAGATATCTTGAAAGATCATACTATGTCTGTTTGCACGTAGTATAGTGACCAACGAAGAGCAGAAAATACTAGTAGCAAATCTCGTACACTTGCTTGATGGTAGTAGTGATAGATGCTCATATATCATGGTTAAGGAAGCTGCCAATGATACGCTTGCGATTTGGACAATCAAGCTTAATACGTATACACTGCAGGCCGGCTTTCGGGCCTTGATTATGCAGATTATTCCTAGACTCCACTTTCTTGAATCCCCGTTCGTTCCTACACTAAAGCATTATCTGTAGTTACACCTTTTCCATTAACATGCAATGAACAAAGCACACAAACAACCTTATTACGCTATTCGTTTCCAACTGATAAAATTCGGATGAGCGTCAGCGAGACCCTGCATTGAACCTTGAAAGTCAATTGGCAGAACTACCAAAAAGTTTTCCATATCTCAACGGTTATTTGCTCGTTTCCAGCTCATAAAAACTGGGTTTTCCTGATACTAGTTGTTAGATCCCCTCAACTGGATTCGTCTCTCTTTTCATGTTGGTTCGTAGTTACTTTGGCTTGTTTCCATGCTTACTCAATCTCAACTTCCTATGTACGTTTGCGGAGTAGAACTTGAGAGTGCAACTCTGAATATAGAAGGTAGAGCTGCATACAGATGTTTAGAGAAGCGATTCACTGGTTGAGAGCTGGGGATAATGCGCTAGTAGAAGCTACCCTTACTTAACTTGACGCTGCAGGCTACGAAGGAGGCAATGATACTCTTTGTATTATTATTTATATGTTTTGATTCGCTACAACGTTCCTTTTGTAACACAGTTTGGGAAATAGTCATTACATAAGTAATGCCAAGGTAGTAAGCAATATCAAGCATTTCAGCCAACGAGCATGATGCAGCCTTGATCTTTTCGTTTACTCAATTTTTGGTGTCCACAACTCGAATTGTTTCTTCTGAATTTTCGGAATTCTACGTAGAAATTCGGTCCTGCTTGAAATAATTGTTCAGGCTTTGTTCGATATCGTGATAATAGATCCAATTCAGATCCTCGCCGTAGTGCCGATTAGCGAAATCAATCCAGCTTGCTTCCCATCCCTCATTATGGGCTATTTGTTGACCTCTAGCCTTCATATCGCCCAAAGTCTTGTACCTATCAGCAGTTAGTGTGTAATTTCGATTGCTAAATAATAACTCACAACTCTTGGTAAAATGGTCCTCTAATCGAGTCAAAAGCCATAAGAGCCTTTGACACCGGGTCAGTAGCCCCGGTTTCCAGCAGTCGAGCGAGCGATTTCCCAAAAGTCCAACCATCCTGTAAGCCGAAAGTAGCCCCCGAGCCAAAAGCACCTTACAAGCTGTCAATAAACAAAGTCTGACTGTCATGATTGGTGACTCTTACCCGACATAGGATTAGCTGAATCTCCAAACAAAACGATTTTGTTTCCCTTAACACTAGACGGCAATGGAGGTCCTGCGAACGAGGCATATTTGATCCATGCTCCTTTGGGGACACATTGTAGCAGCGCCTTTGCGGCTGGTTCAAATTCCTGATATCCATCAGTATACGCTTATCCAAAAGTTCCGAAGCATATACTCTCACCCGAAAAGTATCCTCTACAATTATGTTGTCTACCTCTACACCATTGGGAACTGGCGTGTCAATATTCTGAGCTTCTGTTAGCTGGAGAGGATCGGACAACTCGCGCAACACAAGTTCGCATTTATTGTCGCCAGCTTGGTTATCTTCAATCGGACTATACATGTAACCTTTTTGGGGCATATACCACAAAGTTGTCTTCCTGTGATCGAAAGATGAAATCCTGGCCACTTGCGATAGAGGCATTAGTGCCCGGTAGGCAGTAACGCCAATGAATTTGATTGATGCTTCTGGGAATGCATATTGCCGAACCCGTGATCGCACGCCATCGGCCCCAATCACGAGATCCGCCTCGATTTCCGTATCGTCGTCGAACGTCAGGACAATCCCCCCAGCTTCATTTCCTACAGTAATAGATTCGAGGGTTTTGTTAAGATGAATGTTGGCTTCAGGAACATTTGCTAGGAGAGCTCTATGAAGAACACTACGGCGAACTCGCTGATGCTCTCTTTCGGGTGCCCCTCTACGAGCTTGCTGAGTGCACAAGAGGTCTCCATTAGATCCTTTTCTTAATCGGCATTATTAGTTCCTGCGGAAACTTTAGGACAGCGAAAAACTTACAGATGGAGGATGGGAAACATGTCGGAGCCGGTAATCGAAGAATCGGCGCCTAGCTTTCGTAGAACGTCCCTTGTATGAGGTCCCACATTCAGCCCTCCCCCGATCTCCCGAAGTTCCCTAGCTTTCTCATATACATTCACTGTAACACCAGGTACCTTCAAGAGACTGAGTGCTGCCCCGAGACCGGATATACCGCCTCCTTGAAGATGCTCAGTAAATGCCAATCTGAGTTCTGACTTCCTACCGAGTCACACGTACCAATGATTGCGATCTTTATCGAAGAGTCCGGCATTTCAATTTTATATGTAATATCGATCGATTGAAGGTGTTATGGTAGCCAGGTTGTAGCGTTTTTCTTCTCTGATGATAGCAAGTAGGTTGATAATGCTTGCCCAGGTGTGGACTTGTTGGTATTAGCTTAGGCATCTATCCAGCTGCTGTAATGCGCTTCCAATTACAGCAATAACCGACTGCCTTTACTAGGCATTACTTCGGCACTACTCCCATAACAATGCCTTATACTAAATTCTTATGGTATATGCACTAGACGTCAACGCAATATCTAATCTTGATTAGCAGGACACACGATCCTTACACTAGTCCTACCTCTTGCCGTTCAGGAATAGCTTGAAACCTGCCATATCCCCTAAGTATCTTCACACAGATGACTGCTGCATTTTCACTAGTGATTAGCTCAGCCGCCACTTCTTGTTCATGTTACCCACGATCCCTAGTCCATTCAAGCGGTGTGCTTTATTACCGACTTATCGCAGACGCACTCTTGTGTCAAATCCTAACGGCGGAATGCACCTTCTGCTTTGAATGATTTACTTTAGCCTCGTCCTTCGTAGCGCTCTGCAGGTCATTGCGTGTCTCTGCTTACTTCATTACTCTGGGATATTCTCGCATTAAGAATTTTAGGTCTAGTCTAATGCTCGTGATTGTTGTTCAAATAATAATACCAGGTTTTACAGTTTAGCTATCTTTCAGGCCAAGTTCAGTCGCAGTCCAATTCCACAATCTTGCTCCTAGCACCACATCCCTTGACTTGCGCACATGCCAACCCTCGACACCAACCGCCTGGTAGTACCCTCCGTTGGTCAACTCATACTTGCGACTCCCTGCCGCCCAAATTTGAGTCATAGCTCCGAATTCTGGACTGCGAACAGGCTCAACAGCATGTATCAGCATGCGGTTGGCTAAACTTCTTGTTCGTATAAGATTTGTATCGGAAATGGAAGCAGGCATAACAGCAATGCTACGGATCTGGGGATATCGTCGAGAGAGCTCTAAAGCGAGTAACATATTTGCAAGCTGTGACTGAGCGTATCTCATCCATTCCCCGCCCCAGGGTAGGAAGCGATCGATTGAAGGACGAATTAGGGGCTTCGACTTGGTGTTGGTTTTGATGTTTTCCCAATCAATGCCGCCCAATGGGTGCAACATGTATGCCTCGCTTGTTAAAAGAACAATGCGAACATCGCTGTTATACTCAGCTTGAGTTTTGATCATTGTTGGAAGTAGCATATTAACTGCTAGAGCATGGCTCATGTAGTTTGTAGCAAACTGAATATCATAGCCTTCCATCGTGCGGGTTGGGGGGCAGGCCATGGTTCCGGCATTACACATGAGAATATCCAGTCTCGAGAAGGGTCCTTCCAGTATCTTTTGCAACGCTTGTCGCATCGACGACATACGAGAGTGATCGGTAGGGATGAACTCAGCGTTCACATCCGGATACATCTGGCCGAGAGTTTTGATTATATTGTTGGCAGAATCTCTGTTGCGCCCAGTGAAGTATATCTTTGCAGGCTGATGAAATGCCAGTGCAAAAAGTGATGATCTGCCCAATCCAGATGTTCCTATGAGTACTATTAGCAGCTACAACATACAACTGCATCGACATCAGACCTACCTCCAGTGATTAGGATATGTTTCCCTTCAAGAGAATCAACGTCAACAAGCGGATCAAAAGGTTTACTGGTTGGAATCACCATTTTGACGAATGTAACCTTGTACGCGATGAGAAGAGGACAAGAAGTTGGAGCTAGAAGAACTCAAAGAGTTGGCGATATAATGATCAAGGTACAAGGGAGTCTTAGCCAACTACGCTATGGATATGAGTTACATAATGTCGACAGTCAGCCCTAAATACTCTATCAGGGACCTGACTTGTGGGGCTCTAACAACATGGCCCAGAAGCACTATGATACATGGGTATAGTTTAATATTAGCTTGGCGTGACGTGGCAAGTTTACCTTATTTTCCAAAGCGATTTCATTAAAGCGCAAAGCTACAAGCTTACAAGTTTGGACCCTGTACATTTCCTCTAGTCTGCTAATAGTTGATTGAAGATGGAATTAATTAATTGAAACATCAGCAGTTTTGTTGCATGAGGGAGTTGATCGTCGCTTAAAAGAATTTCTAGAAAGTAGTGGCTTCTAAACGGGTTCTTAAGTGCATATATGTACTTCTCTAAGCAGCAAGACTAGCTGAATCCTCGAATTAGTGACCAGAACAAGATGATATGAAAAGTAGCAAAGCTCAAAAAGAATCTGGATCAAGAGCTCTGATTTACAGGCGTCAGATATACTGGCAAGGGAAGTCTCTTCGGGGCGATGAAGATCTTAGCCTTCAGCCTATCTGGAGCTAAGGGATCTAGAGAAATATCAAAGTTCCAGAGAAGCTGTGAAAGTACCAAGCGCATTTCCAAATAGGCCATACTGTGAAACCATTAGAACCACTTTAGCAGTCGGCTTCTAGATTTGAAAAGTAACTTACTTTCTCCCAATGCAGCTACGAGGCCCAACACTAAAAGGTAAAGAAGCTGATTGAACATCGTTGTCGAACATAGATTGAATTTTCTCTTCTTTGAGCCATCGTTCAGGTAAAAACTCGTCAGGTTTGTGAAAGTTCCTGGGAGAGCGAGCTGCGGCAAGATGGAAAACAGAAACTCGAGTCTCGGAAGAAGTTAGCTTTCCTGCATTCATCGGTGAATCAATATCACATACCCCTGAGGGGACAAGTTGCCCATCAACTACAAGACCTTCTTGCGGAACCATTCGAGGAATGCCAAATCCAACAGGAGGAAGTAACCGTAAAACCTCATCAAACACCGCTAGCATGTAAGGCAGCCTGGCCGATGCTGTCGTGTAATTGATCTCTTCAGCACTGGTGAAAGAGCTTCGTATCTCCTCTACAAGTCTCTTCATTGTCTCGGGCCGTCGAAGCAGGAAGTAGACAGTGCTAGTTAACAGTGTAGATATAGAATGGCCACCCGCCATCACGATCAACGCTGCCGTCGGTACGACCTTTTCTGCGCTGTCCACGAAACCTTTGAAATATTCTTCATCCCCAGAGTGCCGCATTATGTAGGACAAGAAATCTGGTCTAGCGTCCGCTCCCTTCCTCATCCTATTGTTAACGATTGATCTCGCCATAGTGAAATGATCTGCCCTTTTTCTCAGTACACTAGCAGGAACTAGTCTCCATGCGAGTGTCAATGGGACATATCGGCGAACGGCACTGATCAAGAGCCCTGCCTCAAATCCTGCCATTACTGTCTCCGGCCAGGTATGGAAAGTACGATTTTCAACGCAACTGAACGATTCTCCTAGTGCTAAATCGCCCACGATGTCGAAGGCGCTCCATAAAAACCAGGTCGCCAGGTCTTGAGGTTTTTCGCTAGAAGCGCTTGTGCTACGTAGGCTGGCGATTAGCAAGTCAACGTGTCTCTGGACGAGATGTTCTTGCGCCTGTAGGGCTTGTGCGCTGAAGGCGTGCCCCAATAGCCGACGAAATTTCGAATGTTCTGAGTTGTTCGCAGTACCCATACTAGGGTACTGCTTCACTCCTGGAGCGGCAGGCGGCAAAAAGTGCGGATCTCTCTCAAGAGGGGAACGACCTTTCTGGATGTCATAAATTGTCCTCCACGCCGTCGTAGAATCAAAGGCGAGCTCGTCTGGAGCTACGCGTATGACGGGTCCATATCGCCTGTGCATTTCTAAAACCATCTGTGGCAGGTAGCCCAAAGCTCCGGCGATCACATACGGAAATCTGAAGGCGGCGAATATCCTTGGTCCAGGATACGGACGCAGAGGGTGAAGGAACAAGTTGTAACAGCCCAGCGTAAAAGGATATAGAAAGGCCTAGTTTATCTAATTGTCAGTCATATTGTCACTACTTCCTGTGATTAAGCTTACCGCTACGATAATATACGAAGCCCAAGTGGTTACAAAACACCACATCTTTCTTTGTTCGATAGGTATGAGTGACTCCAATTGGTTCTTCACAATAGAAAGCGAAAAGAAGACTGATGAACAATTTCGGAGTATTGCATGCTTGAGCAAAACTAAGAAGCTAGAGGTAGCTTTGTAGAATGTTCTATACGACCATACTTTCCGGCCTAGGTCAAACGCACTGTAGCAGAGATGAGAAAGGGACCCTTGTTCGGCGCGGCTCGGGCGTACCATGGTAGAGGGATGGATTGGAAACCTTGTTCGGCTCAGATCGGGTGTGATTGTAAACCCCCGATAATAGAGTTTACATGGGATCCTAGTACGCGCTACTCGGAACTACTGTATCATAAGGCTCTGAACTCAATAAAGGCAAGCAATACAAGAATAGGCAGATATGGAACGAAATATGTCCGAGGCCGTGGGTAAAGCCTAAGTAAATTGACACAAGGTTTCCTGCAAAAGATCCTCGTTCAAACTGTGCCGGGACAGAGAAACTATTTTAACATCGAGAAACCCATCGCTTTTGCGACGAACGCAAGCTGATTCATATCATGGCGTTGACATCCTTCATCTCTGAGCAATTCACTATTGTCAATGTAGTCTTGAGCGTAAGTAATTCATTGAATGTTATCGACTCTTACTAACGATCGATTGCAGGCTGTCGCATATCTGAGCTGGTCATGCATCTACTCCTTGTACTTTCACCCGCTAGCAAATGTTCCGGGCCCATTGAGCGCAAAGATCTTCCCTTTCTGGACAATAAAAGTTCTTTACAGGGCTAACCTTTGTCCTGCTCTTGCGAAGTTACATCAACGATATGGTCCCGTTGTTCGCACAGGTCCAAATGAGATATCTTTCACTAGTCCCGAAGCTCACGATACGATATACCGCATTCCCTTTACCAAGTCTAAAACCGGTCATTACTTTTCCAAAGACGGCACGTTGCAGGATGGCATTGCGAACTTGATATTCCGCGCACCGACTATTGGAAATGAAGGGAATCGTATCGTGCATCGCCAACTCCGTAATCGTATGGCTGCAGCATTCACGACCGGTGCTGTACTCTCGCAGCAGGATATTCACGAAGTGCATCTTGCACGCATGTTTACAGACATTGACGAAATGTGTTCCAACGGCGACACTGTAGAACTTCGTGACCACCTTTCCGCGATGCTCTGGAATTTGGTGTCTGACCTCTCCTTCGGCGAACCATTAGTCTCCAGCAAAAGACTAGTATTTATCAGAATGGAGACGATATATCGAAGGCTCTTCCCTGTTCTAGAGGCTATTAATTGCTTGTTTCCATGGTTGGAGCGGGCAATTTTCCATGCCTCAGTATTCGTCCCAGCCTCATCAGCAAGAGCATTTCTTCCTACAGGCCAGCTTCGAGAATGCATGGATCGCCAGGACAGCCGCAAGGACTTTTTAACTGCGATCATGGGCGAGAATGAAAAAGAAGGACTGGGGAAATTGAACTGGGATATAATGTACAGCAATGCCTCATTCTTCATGTAAGCAGCCATAATGAATATTTACACAGACGCCTTGTTGACCAAAGTCTTAGTGTCTCCGGTTATTTCACGAACGAGATTTCCCACTGTGCCTTGATGTATAATCTTTTACGATCGAAGGAAAGCATGAAGAAAGTCCAGGAAGAGCTCCGTACAGCCTTCCAAGCTTCTAACGAGATTAATGCGCAGCAATGCGCAAAACTACCATATTTGAACGCTTGCATCAGCGAGTCTTTGCGACTGTGGCCTCCGCTTGCTGGCAAGTTCATGAGTCGTCGCTCTCCTGGGGCCATGATTGATGGATACTGGGTTCCCTTTGGAACTCAGGTATACATTGACCCATATACTGTCCAGCGCTCCCCAAATGCTTTTGTCGATCCTGACGAGTTTCTTCCTGAGCGTTTCTTGCAGCATAAGGACGTGGGTAAATACCAGCACGATCTCCATGAGGTTTACAAGCCCTTCTCATCTGGTCCAAGGGTTTGTATCGGAAGAGAAATGGCGTTGCAGTCGCTTCGATTAACTACTGCAAAATTGCTATTTAAGTATAACATCGAGTTCACGAGTCCAGATTGTTTCATCTGGGAACGAGACTGCAAGAGCTCGGCACTGTGGGCAGATTATCGTTTACCGGTACGTATTACAGCCGTTGAGCGCTGATTTGATACTATGTGAGTAGTACAATTATCCTGAAGCTTCTCCAATAGTCTTTTTGGTCTATTTGATTTCGTTCCATACGTGCATCAAATCCAGTTGTCCTTATGTTCTAGAACAAGAGCGTTTCGTAACGTAGCAAACTTTCAACTTTTACCCACATTACCGTTTACACGTGTCAAGAACGAACAGTTTATTATTAAAATCAGAGCTACAAATATATATAATTAAGCCTAAAGACTACCTCTACTCCCCAAACAAATCTTCAATCACTGGTACTGAGCTTGCCATAGGTTTGTCCTAGTACTATAAAGTAGCCTCGCTGATTGTTTTCATTGTGTATAAATCAAAGTGCATGAAGACAGTTTCTTTATGCAGAACTATTTCCTTATCAATAATATATTAATAAACAAAAAAATCATATGCGCAAGCTTGTAGCTACTTACGAGGGTGCCCTACTGGGAAAAAGAATTGGATACCCTGGGGAGTCGAGCTACGAATAATTTCGGGCCAAGTTCAACACATACTATATATTTATTAATATGTTAACTATAAGTGATATGGAGTACATAACTATATCTTATTAGTCGTTAGACTGAGGCAGGGGCCGCGGCTATGAAGTTGCTGGAAATGACAATGCCTAAAATCTTACACACGCTAAGCATGGAAATGGCTATGCTTAGATCTGAAGTTATATTTTAGGTTTCTGCGGAAACTTCCGTAACCTGATCTAGATTGTTCCTAATTGTTTAGCTATGCAAGGTATGCCTAACATACCTGGGTATCTGACACCAGGATACCTAACTATGACTATCCAAAGAGGTGATTGCGTAAGCCTAAATACCGCTTCTTCACGGTAGGTAGATATGCAATAAAACATATTATGTGTCTCTATCCTCGCGGCCAATCTCTCGACAAACATAAAAGCTTAGACTGAAGTATAAAAGGGAATCCTGCCCATTGCGAATCATTTTCTCCTACTACCATCCTCCTTCCAACTGGCAAATTTCAACAAAAATGTACTTACTCCAAGACCATATAACGGAACTAACCAACAGCGCTCGTATCAATCGAGCGAAGAATGACGCATGGCTTGAACAATATGATCATCTTCGGACTGAAATATGGAAGTACTCTGAGAGAATAAACAGCGATATCGTAAAGGCATCAGGGTCATTCACCACTCTCGAGGTCCGACGGAACATCTATGACCATGAGGCAAATTTAGCAAGCGAGCGCGTCATGCAGGTAGGATTGTCTTAGTTTGATCGATGAAGAAACACTGTTTAGTATATTAACAATTCCATAGGATTGGGCAAAGTACATAGGTGATGGCCAAGAGCTTCTCACTTTGAACGCTTGCAGTAAATTAGGCAACATGTATTCGTTCACCTTTATCGAATCCCCGCCAGACAGATTGGATGTAGCTGCCTACTGGGGTGATCTTGGACTCCTCCACGACGGTATGGCTGCTCTTTTGTCACCACTCACATTCATCACTAATGATTTTCTAGACCACACCGAAGCTGCCGAGGAAACAGAAGCTTGGGCAGAACATGGTGCCTTCGCGGCAGCTATCAACTTCCATCAGCCAACATGTGACCAAGGGCAACAATGGCATAGAGCCTTGGGCATGAAACGTATGGCTGCAGAGAGTATGCTCAAGGGTATGAAGATTGATCGAGAGCGATGCTTATACATGGTGGACAAGTATCGTACTGATTGGGTCGATGTTGTTGAGAAACCAAGACCTGAGGAAGGCTTCTCTAGCCTGAAAGAGTACATGAACTATAGAAACCAGAATGTGGGAATGAGGTAAGCGATAATACATCCGCAGCACAAACAACAGGTGCTTGATCACTAACGGTTCGGCAGTGCATTCTGGCCGATGCTGGCATTTTCTATGGGCTATGAACCAACTGCCGAAGAACATGATCTCGTACAGCATGTTCTGGAACCCATCGAGGAGGGTATCTGCTTGACCAACGACTACTGGAGCTGGGAAAGAGAACTCTCCGACCACCTTACCAACGGGAACCGCATCAACAACAGTGTGGATGTTGCAATGCGAACAATGAATCTCGATCAAGCAGCTGCAAAAGAGTGGCTAAAAGAACGTCTCATTGGTCTAGAGTGCGAATACGTGCAACGTAAAGTCGACTTTTACCAACAGCATCCAAGACTGTCATTGGAACTCAGAAGATGGATCGAACTAGCCGGATCTATCATGGGAGGTACGCACTTTTGGGCGTCATCATGCCCACGACACCATGGCTGGAAAGAGCATCGTGAACGAGCGCAGAAAATTCCACTTATCCAAGACGATGCCCAGTCACGCACTCATAACACAATCCAGTTTGACGACAACTTTTCCGATCACTGCTCTACAGCCTCCACCTCTCTGACCACCCCAGATATCATGAGTGAGTCTGTGATTGATAAGAGCATGGGCTCCGAAGGACTCAATCCAATTATTGATATCAGAGGCACGTCAAACCAGAGACCTACTCAGAACGAAGATGACAGGGTTTTGATGGGGCCTATCAACTACATCGCCTCCATGCCTTCAAAGGGCGTACGATCAATGCTAGTTGAGTCTTTCAACTTATGGTTGAAGGTTCCCGAAAGCTCTATGCGTGTCATTGAAAAGATCGTAGCTGATCTTCACAATGCATCTTTGATACTAGATGACATTGAGGACGATTCAGATCTGCGCCGCGGACAAATGGCAACTCACCTCGTTTTTGGACAAGCACAAGCTATTAATAGTGCCAACTTTATGTTCGTACGTGCGGTCCGGGAAGCTTCTGGGATGAAGAACGAAGTTGCAGTCCCTCTATTGTTACACGGCCTTGAACGAATGTATCAGGGGCAAGCCTTGGACTTGTACTGGAAGCATGCAATGATCTGTCCGAGCATCTCTGAGTACCTCCATATGGTCGATTGCAAAACTGGCGGTCTTTTTCGCATGTTGCTCCAGCTTGCCAAGTCAGAAAGTACCGTGAGCTACCCCTCAAGCCTGGACTTGGATACCATCGTCCTTCTTTTTGGTCATTTCTTCCAGATCCGCGATGACTACATGAACCTTTGCTCTGCTGAATACGGAAAACAAAAAGGCTCCTGTGAAGACCTCGACGAAGGGAAATTTTCTTATCCTCTTATCCAACTCTTTGACTTGCTTCCGGAGTGCAAAGACGAAGTACTTGGGATTCTTAGGCTGAGCCGCCGACCTAATCAAAAACTTCCTGAACATGCGAAGCAGCAGATACTTAATCTAATTCACGCTTCTGGTGCAATGGATGCAACACGCTCTTTTTTGCGAACTCTGGAAGGGAAGATCGACGAAGAAATTAAGAAGTTGGAGACTGCATTTGGAGATTCCAATCCTATGCTGCGTCTGCTAATCGAGAGGCTTAGTGGCGATTGGTAGACAAATTGGAATGCTATGAACTACCACTAAAAAGCCGAAAACTCTCTTGTTCGAGGTTCCTGGCCACTGTGAAAAGATGATGAAGGCCTTAAATGGCAACAAAGATAAAGAGAACAATGTGCGGCCACTGAGTTTCTTTTGGTACTGCTAGAAAGCGATATATATCAGGAAAGTTCTGAAGAGGCAGAACAGTGCCACCAGTGGTCTGTTATGTGTATTGAATTCATTCAGGGTTATTTGCATGTACTTTAAACCTGTTGGCTACTCTTTAATAGTATAAATTCACACCATGCATCTCTGAAGATTACCACACAGTTTTACAATGGTTATCAGTAGTTCTATGATACTTGCTCGCCGCTCAACGCTGTTCACTGAACGGGCCGCCCGCACACGTGAGACTCTTGTTTGTACCACACGATTCATCCAACGATGCGACGTGGGAAGTCTGGCACCTGCTTGAGGACGATTTCTAACTTAACGTAAAAAGAGGCATATGTTACCATAGACATACACAACCTCTTGAATTCTTATTTTAGTCAGAGAGGAGATATTTCACTTACCATCCTTGAGCACAGTGATTCGCTGTCCTTCCGCAATTGCCTCCCGTAGAACAACATGTCCCGAAAGACGTTGCCGCATATGTATATCCATTCGACCCACCACACAAGTCATCTTAAGATGTGATAGCGATATAGCTAACACCCTAGTGTCGAAATAACATATAGAGGTGCCGGACCGGCCAACGATAGATTTCTTCCTACTAGTACTATTAGAAACTTAAAGCTATAGAGCTCCATATAAGCGCTATTTGTAAGGTATAGAATAATTTTTATATTATTTTATTTATTATAATAGCTATAATAGGTATAGCGTTATATAAATAACTTAGTCATTACTTCTATAACTTATTTATTATTTATTATTTTTAAGCTATTTCTTACTAGCTGTTTTAAGCTT